AAATGCAATTTTAAGGAACTTATTAAATTTTTTAATTTAAAAACGACACCTCTTAAAAGGAAACATTAAAAATATCTTAATGCTATAAATTCAACCTAAATTATAATTACTTTTTTTTAATAATTTGCTTATAATGAACATTTATTTTGAAGGATAATTTTTTTCTGCTTGGTCGCATTTTCCTGTCAATAAATTCAAAACGATCTGCGCTGATTAGTTTTTAAGAGGAGAGGGGGCTCGACTTTTTTTCCTACCCATTTCCTCGTCACCGATTTTCCCGATCAGCTTCGGGCGTGGACCGATTCTCACTTTTGGCTCCAGATACAGAGACACTCACACTTTTGATCGGAAAGTGCTGCAGCAGGGAAAAACACAGAGTCACTCTCTCTCTCTCTCTCTCTCTCTCTCGCACTTCCATCCTATCCATCGGAACGCGGCGTGTGTCCCCCCGAAAAAGTTTTGCCTTCAACCCCCTGTCATTTCTCCTACGAGAATGCATTCGAGAAAAAAAGGCAAAAGCTCTCTCTTGGCCAACTTGAGTAGGAGGAAAGAAAGAGAGAAAGAAGCTGCGCGTTCCAAAGGCGAACACCAGCGGCTTTTTGCAGCAGAGACCACTAATTACAAAGTATAGCACGGAAATTTCGGGGTCGCCAAACCACCCCCAAAAAGATAACGAAAGCAAAAAGTGCCACAGCTGAAGAGGTCGGAGAAGACAAATTAATTCCTCGACTAACGCAAGACGCTATATATACATTAGCTCTTGTTGCAAGAGGAAGATTGATTCTTTTATTGCTTTGAGAGGGGCCCATTCTTTTTTTCCGATTCCTTTTCACGGAAGATATAATCGAAGAATATTACAAAGAGAAGAAATTGAAAAAATAATCTAGTAAATTGGTATTTGTTATTGTTTTTAAATTGTCCTGTAAAAAAATTAAAGAAAGATAGTGATAAGTGATAATATATCGTTAAAATAATAATAAAATTACGACTTCTGCACCTTCTATTAAATTTTTCATGTTTTTTATATCTTCGGTCTTAAAATTTTTCGTGCTACTGATTGACAATAATTAATTCTCAATCTCAATTTATTAGAAACTTCATGTTTATTGTATTTTAATTACTTCTTTGATTAACACTATTATCAATAATTTCATAAATTTTATGTATTTAAATTATAGTTTGCATTTAAGTCAGTTAAATGTGATCAAGTTTACTACAAAATAAGATTCACACAAAAAAGTGCATACATATAGAACTGAATAACGACGTTTTCTTATGTTTTGAAACCTAAATTTGCCTCTATATTTTCATCTGGGAATGGAATTATTATTTACTTCTTTGATTGTTACTAAATAAAAAAAATATGAAATAAATTAAAATAAAATTAAATATATATATAAAATATTAAATAAAATAGAGTAAAATTAAATTAAAAAAGGATAATAAAATGAGTGGTGCTATCTGCACTACTAATAAAGCGCACAAGCTGAAATGACTTTGTCTTGACCCAACTTAAATAAAAAAAAACTATTGTCAGTAATTTCATAATTTTTTTATTAAATGATAATTATTATTATTATTTAAATTCATTTGAATTGGATAAATATATATAAAAATAATCACACAAAAAAAAGCTTCAAAATGACCTTTTCTAATATTTTGAAACATAAAATTTGCCCGCAAAAAGCTGTTTATAAGCTTTCTGATTATTTAAATTTTCAGAGAAGAATTTCTTAAACTGGTTCAAAGTCATTTCGGAAACTGTAAAAAAATTTAAAAATAATGTTATTCTCGGCGATAAAAGTGTCTCGAGGTAAGTGCAAGGTGAAAGAGGTGCGAGTGAGGCGTTTTGCATAATCACCCTAATAATGGGCTCGCTCACGTGTCGTCCTTTGTGCTGCTCGGCGCATTTCTTTGTCGTACGGCCCTGGAGACAGGCCGCTCTAGCCGGCGCACAATGAGAGTTGCTTAGCTCGCTCGTTCTCTCTCTCAAACATTAGGGCTAATCTAACTGCGCGCGTGTGTGTGTTGGTTTAATACTCGCGGCGTCTCGTGTGCCTTTTCCAGCAGTCTCGTGTGAATGGAATAAAGAAGCGAGCGGCAAACCTTTTTGGCCGGATTGTGTCATTATTTGCGCTTGTCTCGCTCGCGCAGCTGGGCCTCGGCAAGCACGATTGCTTTTATATTATTTGCAATAAGAGCAGGAAGCGATTTGTTCAGCGGCAGCAAAGATAATGAACATTTGGAATTAATTAAGATTTGGAAAACCATCTGCGACTATGGTCAGAAAAATAGAATTTACGAGGTCTGAGAATAACTTGATGCTCTAAATTTTCAACTAAAACTTCATAATTAATTCAAAATATAATATTAAAATTGCTTTTAAGATAAATTCAAATCATAAAAGAAATAAGAATAATAAGGAAATATTTTGACAATCGTTTAAAAAAATATGAACAAAATCCAATTCAAAACTCAAGGAATGATTTAAAATGTTTAAAAATTCAGAATTTTTTTAGCTCTATTGCTCTCTATTCTTGTTTATGAGAAATTTCGGTATAGTTGTCAAAATTTTCTCGGATCGATTGGCTCTCAAAACACGCTCATTCCTATGTGGAATGATTTTAATTACTCTATATATGAAATAAATGAAGTGCACCATTCATTGGGACAAATTTAGGTTGTTTAAATCGCAAAAAGGAGCACAAGAGCTGCAAATTTTAATTATTTTACTGCTCATTTCAGCAGAAATCAACGTTGAATTTTAATGAAATAATGCCTCTGACGACTGGGTCGAAATTTGTGCATAAATCACTACATATTTACGTGGCTAAAAATGGATTTTATCTAAAAATCAAACGCCCGGATAAGTTTCGGTCTCGATCTCTGACCCCATTTCATGGCCAAGAAAAATACGATAAAAAGCAGCAAAAATTATTATATTTCCTTGACTGATTTTCAATGATGCTATTTTAAAGTTTAAAGCAAATTAGAGGTGACAACAACTAAATTTAATTTTTTTCCCACGCAATTTTACTGAAGCACGTCTAGAGAATTTCAAATTCGCTGATAAAAATCGAATGATTGGCGTTTACAGATCGGAAGATCAGACTAGAATGAAGTCGTCCCACTCCTTTTCGCAACACACACACACTGTGACTGCTCTTTCAAGTCGCGCCATAAAACGCTCAAACTTTGGAATTCTCCTCTCAAACTGGCGGCCTTTTACGACCTTTTAGTCTGGCGAAACTTGGGTTGCCGGCCGGCTTTGCGAGTACATAATGTATAAAGCCCGCAAAAAGCCTTTTTAAATAAAATCCAGAGCGCCCTGCAAATTAGTGGCAAGAGAGGGCAAAACTATTTATTTTGCACGCGCAGGTGGAGCGGAAAAGTTGAATTAAAAAACATCGACCGAGTTTATTAAGCCCGTCGATCGCGTTTAATCCAGTCCCAGCTGGGAACACCGAGAGACAATTTTTCGTCAGGCAATTTTGCTGCTGCAGCGGAGCAGATGATTAGGGTGGAATGACATATATGCATCAAAAATTAAAAATCTCAAATTGACTGGCGCGGCACGCTGTATTTTTAAGCATAAATATATTGATTCGATGCCATGGCAAGGGGATGATTTTCACTTTGGCGCGCGAGGGTGCCGGATCAATATTTCACGAGTTTGCCGTGCGAGAAAAGAGAAGAGAGCGAAAACAGGTAGCGCGAGTAATCTTTGCTCTCGAGAATTTCATTACATCAAAAAGAGAGCGAAAGATAAATTCCTCCACCTCGAAGCCTCCGAAGTGTCGGTGCACGAAAAATTGATTTTATCGGAACGATTTCATTCCTTCAAAAGCAAAAGAATGCTAAAGACGGGAGGATGAGAATAAAAACTTGTGTGTTGGACTTATTAGCAGGTTTATTGTAATGAGCATGTATTTAGTTTTAACTTTTGGCTGTAATTATACTAAAATATAAAATAAGATGTATATTCTTGGATTATTTGGCTTCAAAAATAATATTTATCCTCAGATAGACATAAAATTACAATGTCATAGTAAAGTATTAATTTATTTAAGCATTATTTATTTTTATTCTGCAAAAGCCATAAATTAAGTTTTAAAATTTAAATAATTTTGTTTATTTATTTTAATTAATTTTATTATTGCAATTAATTCAAATTATTTATGGATTCATGAAAAAATATTTTGCATAATTCACTTCAATAAACATATATATTTAATTTAATTATTATTTTATACAAATAATATCTACTGCAGGACATAATTAAAATGTTAATTTTTATTAAAAAATAAATTATTGGAACTCAGCAGTCGTCGTAATAAATGTGTCCGTGTTCAATTAATATTCTGACTAAATTACATACTTAAAATTAAGAACTATAAATCAAATGAAGTAAAAAAATTTGTTTTATGAGACATTTTGTAAGGAGTAAAATCTTGACAATTTTTTTCATTCAAATATTAAGAACGTCAAAATTTCTTTCCATGGTTTACATGGAACTATTCAGATAAGACCTAATGAGTTTTTTTCCCCCAACAAACTGCATAGTCGGCCTCTTCTGCCTGCCCAAGTAATTCCCCGGCTTTTGTCCGCAAAAAGGCGTGAGAGCAAGAGAGAGTAGGATGGGGCACCACAATAACTGAAACGCCGCCCCGCGCTACTCTTAATAGCTGCCGGGGTAGTGAAAAATTAAATATTCCGCCCTTCAACGCGCTAGAAAAACGGAAACTCCCAACTTTGAATGAATTTATTTAAATTTCAGCCGAAATTCACGCAGATTTCCTCAAATTCCGGCACGTTGACGGTCTCGCGAGTTAAACCACCCGGGAGTTAATTAATAGGGAGGCGCTGTGTGCACTGCCCCTAACGTCCCGGAGCCGAGATATTAAATAATAAACGGCGGAGCGGCAAGAAAGCTCACATAATAATCCAGAGAGAAGCGCATCCCTCTCCGGAACACACATCTGAATAATGCAAGTACTCACCGTATAATTTGATCTTCTTATCCTTGGTCTCGACCAAAATGATAACGTATCCACCTAGGTCCACCATGGTTCTAAGTCACTGTCACACGCACCGCAAAATTTATAGAAAAAAAAATCAACACGCACAAAACATATAATTATTTTCTCCGAGCAAATTCAAAATTATTTGTGCCGGCGATGTATTAAAAACCGCACCGATTCGTTCAGGATAGTCCAAAGGTAGATCAGGTCAGCAGCAGGGGCCGGGCCGTGAGTGCAGAGGGGCCCGGCGGGGCCCGTCTTTGATCCTGGAGAGCAGCGGCGCGACCGCCTGGCTGGCCATCGTGCGTCCGGCTGGCTGCGGGCAGATCGGCGGCTTCCTCGACCAGGCGCGTCCGTCCGTCCGTGCCAGGCCTCGAGCTACATCATATTGGATGTGAATGTGAGGAAATCGCTTCCGTGTATGTCAGTTGGTTGCAGGTGCCCGCCGAGCACAAGCCGAGCAGCAGGGAGAGGCGCCGAGAGATGTGGTAGCCAGAGCAACTGCCCTGGATGTGAGCCGATCGCAGCCTCCTCTCCGTAGCCAGGCCTGCTGGCGGTCGGCCTGTTCCAAAACTACACTCACAGCCGTACACTCTGTGCTGCTGAGATCAATAATGCGCCACGCCCCTTTCATTCCATCTCTCTCTCGCTGATATGGTCTCTCCCGTCCGTGTGTCGGAATTTCGGCAAATCCGAGCAAATTTCGAAACCGCTTTTTGTTTTTCTTCCTGTTGCGTTTCGAGCAGAGTTGAGCGGAATTTTATTTTGTTTGGTGGACGAACTTTCGCCCGAGAGCGGCGGCGGCTTATTCTCCGAATCTCGGCCGCACCAGCACTTGAATGATGCTGCTTTAGCTGGTTGCCGTGGCAACCAACTGTAGTACACCGCCGATATATTGTGCATGCATATAATATACACTCGTCGCGCGCGCTGTGTGTGTGTTGAATGACTGACCTTGTGGATATGCGTGTCTGTTGTGTTTTACAGACGACAATTTTTTTTTATTAATTCAACCAGCTTCATTTTTTTAACTATTAAATAATTTAAAATGTTCTCTGAAAGTAGAACTCGACATTAAAAACACACAAAAAAAAAGAAATAATACTAAAAGAGCTTAAATTAGTCCCTGAGAGAGATAAAAAGTGATTTATTGAATCCATATAAACAGTGTCACTAAATTACCCTTACAGATGAAAAACGGCGGTATTGCATGATTCGCGTGATATCACCAAATCGTGGGTCACCCCCGTGGACTTTCTCTAGGCGCACACACTGTCAAAACCATTCATAATGCCCCCTGAGCTGCTTGCCCATTTTCCTTTTCTGTTTTAGATTTTCGAAATATAAACTTGAAAAATAAATTTTTCTTAAACTAATGTTAAAATGATCAAAATGATTGTATTAAAATATAATCAACTATAATTAAAACTAACAATTTTGGCGTTTTAAATTTGTTATTAAATCTTTTTTATAATATTAATGTTTGATTTAATAAATCAAATATAATAACAAACAAGGAAATGAAGCGATCGGGCTTTTCCTCGTTGCAGAAAATCTAATACAACGAGGAAAAGCCCGATCGCTTCATTTCCATGATCATCTCCTCGAGTGTCAACTTCTTCAAAAAAATAACAAACAACATTTAAAATTTATTGTTAAGTAAAAATTATTTACTTATTATACACACAAAAAAAATAAAAAAAATAAAATAAATAATTATATTTATAAATAAATGAAATAATATAATATAGTACAATGTTAAAACTAATTTAATAATAAATTAATTATTTTATTATTTTTAGTTTTTTTATGTATAAAAATGTAAAAAATTTTAGTCTGATTTAATCATTTTAGTCGGAAATTAAATAAATAACCGGTTTTAGTCAATTTTAAATAGGTGCCAATCGTCATGTAATTAATCACCTGATTTGTGCAGATAATGCATTTTTGAGACTAACGAGACGTTCTGAGTTCTGAGCGACGTAGAATATATTTGACCAACTAGATTGCATGAGCCTATAATATTAATTTACATTTTAAACTTTTTAAATATCATAAAATTGTACAAACCCTCTTCCACTTAAAGAGTGTAAAATTAACAATCTCTTTTCTGGAATTAATCCTGTAAATTATGTTATTAATAATGTATAGTTATTGAAATTGTATCATCAGAAAACAGGGACTATTGGAAACATATATTTTCCAAAATTAGATTTCAAGAAAGCAACAATTTGCTGAATAAAACATAAATTTTGAATGTTTTGGACAAGAAGGGATTTTATATGAAAAGGAAAAATGTCAAATTTTTTTTCATCAATCAAAACGATCAGCTCTCGTCTCAACAAAAGCGATCCGCACGTGTGAGTTATTAGCACAGCCAGTCGCCGCCGCCGCCACCGCTCTCGGCAGGTGAATTGATTCACTTCACTCTCTCGCACTGTATTATAGAAACTCTCGACGGACGCGCGCCGCCCCGACGTGCACTATTGGGTGTGTTTATCTGTATTTGGCTGCTGGCGAGCTGTAAGAGGATTAGGGGTGCAAAATATGGCACGACCATCCACGCGGTGCCACGACGCACGTGCCATTTATATAAGTTTAAACTCTGAACTTGTGCCAAGGGTTAGGTCATTTAAAAAGAAAAAATTCCCTGCGAAAAAAATGAGGTTTTTTAATTTTTAATCAGTGGAAATTGAAAGTTACGGCGAAAAAAGATTCGTTTGTTTCTGAATAGCAATTTTTCATATCCTCTCATAGTCAATCACAATTCATAATTATTTATTTTAATTTAAAATGCTAATTCTTTCTACAAATTTTTATTACTTTTAAATTTTTGAATTATATTGCGTTTCTCTTATTTCTTTCCAATATTAGTGTTAAAAATCCAAATTAGTACAAAATTTGTATTGTTGAGAGGGAACTAATTTGTTGGTCAAAAAGGCGCCATTACTAGCAAAGATTTTGCTAAAACTTCCTAGATCAAACAGACCCGATGCGCCAGAGGGAGCCGAATGTTATCTGATAAGTTTAAAAATTATTTTTTTTGGCCCATCACAGTGTATACCAAATTTGATAGATAAATCATAGTAAATAATAAAAATTTGTGGCCAAAAAAGTGAGATTATAGAGAAAAAATAATATTGAACCCTTCACATTGGAATTTACTTTTAATTTTTTTAAACCCTCTGCAGAAAAATTAAAGAAGAGAAAACGAATGTTTTTAACAAAACTGAAACAAAAAACTGAAGGAAGAAGCGTATTTTTTATTATTATTTTCAATGTCCTCTTTTAAGAACGAGAATTTTTTCTGTATTAAAAAACCAAACTATACTTTGCAATACAATTGCTAAATATATCTTCCAACTTAACCTCCCCAGCATCTAATTGGTCCGAAACCCCTGCGATAAGTAAATGTTTGCATCCCGTTTGACGGGCCCACCCCGCGGGTTGCATACCCTCTCATTCGACCGATCAAATTAACTTATTTTTATAGCTATTTTGTTTTTGGCCAGGTCCAAATTTTGATAATTTGAGAAGGCGGACTTCGTGCTTAACAACGCTGCGCGCATCTTGAATGGGGGTGCACAAAGCGCGCGCGTGTTTTCGGCTCAATACAAGAAGCAAGGGCCGAGACCGTCGAGTAAGTAAAGTGCTGTTGGCGGCGGGCGGGCGACTCACAATGCGCGAGTGGGCCACGCTTCTCTTTCCAGGCGTGCAGTGTTATTGGAAAAAATAATTGAATGCCCATCCCTCGATCACGAGTCGCACTTAAGTAGGCACAAAAGCAGCACGACTTAAAAATGCACACGGTCCGATAAATCAATAGGGGCGCCTCCAAGTGTACGGCGACGAGTAAAAAAAAAACACGTATATTCTCTCTCACCGGCGCGCACAAAGGAACAGACAGCGCAGCACATTCGCGACGAGAAGAGAGTGAGAGCGAAAAGGCACAACTCACTGCTGGCAGCTTGATGCTCTCTTGATTTCATTACTGGATCACTTTATGCAAAGTGCGCCACTTACTTAGTTTTGTTACCGACGCCCGAGCGAGCGCAACCGTACAAAAGAACACAGCCTCTCTTTTTCTCACCAAACTCAGGCATCAGACAAAATTTATTTTTTACTCTCGACCATGGGCAAGTTTTTATTTTGTGTCGGAGAGATGGGAAAAATAGGTTTTAATAACTTAATTCTTGGAAATTAATCATATTGGACAAATTTACATTTTGTAAGCTAAAATAAGAGGTTAAAATTTTGATGAAAAGTCACCTTTTATATCCTATTTTCACATGTACTTTTAAATTTCTCACTCATTTTTAATTATAAAATTTTATCTAAAATCGGTTGAAGGAAAATGGCCTACTTAAAAGATTTAAACATCCTAAATTAAAAAATTTTAAGAATCATTTTGTCCAGAAATAACCTTTAAAAAGTCATCGAAATGGAATATTATTTTGTAGACAAAAACCACTTTTCTTTCCCCAAGGTTTGGCAAATGAATGAACACGGCAACGACTGGCAGTAAATCTCTTTTTATTTTTCTCTCTCTCGGTACAGTCGACTTACAATCTATCAGCACAATACTATCCTTGATTCTTATTGGGAGAGAAGTTATGATTCTCTGCAAAACAATATTTTTCTTTTCAATTCTCACCGTATCACACCTCGGAGTCAATCACACTTCTCCATCTTATTTGCAGGTCGATAAATTTTTTTTTTTTTAATACTCGAGTGGATTTTTCACCAAGACACACAACACCGTCTGGGAGACAGAATAAATACTTTTCATCAATTCTCAAGCTAAGATTGAGGAAAACAAGCACACGGAAAAATGGAAGGACGCCGAGAATATTCTCATCGGGAAGATGTACATTGATTGGATAGGCAATTTTTCTCCAGAGATCAAACAAAAACTCAACTGAACACATTACATAGAATATATAATAGACATCACGTCTATCAAAACAAACTGTCAAAGGCAAACATAAAAAAGGTCCAATCGCTCAAAAATACTCAAACATAAGCTCTTATTCAATGACTTTTTGTGTTACTATCAAAATAAATTATATTAATTAAAATCTCTCTATATTTTACATTTGGTGAAGAACTGAGTTGTTTAATTGTAGGGGAAATGCAAATTTTTAGTGCCATTTCTTGAGTACCGCTTTAAGTACTTTTGGCAAACTCGTACTTGGATCATCTGGTGTAGTAGACGCGGTAGTAGAGCGTTTTCGAGCGCCACAAACTGTACGAGTTGTCGAACTTGAGCAGGTAGACGCCTGCACCGGGGTAGGTGTGGCTGCCGGCGTAAACCTCCTCCTGGCAGTCACGTCGATAGACAGGGACCACGATCGACATGGGCGGCCGAGCGACCAGGTTGCGTCCACCGGGTTGACCCTCTTGGCCGCTGCCTCTCTCCAGGTCGTCGCCAAGGGTCTCTGAAATTTTATTCATTTTCAATCCACATAGAATATTTCTTTTGATGTTCTCATGCAATGCATAATTAACTTTATTACAAATACGGACTAAAATTGCAGGATTTATTTGATTTAGAAAAATAAAAACATGCGTCATTAGTTTAATAAAAATTGCCCTCTTTCTTGGTTGATAAGAAAACTAGGGATGAGTTTGGAATTTAGAATGCAAAATCGAATTCCATGCTGAAGCAGAATATGGATGAGCAATGTTAACAGACAAAAGAGAGTTCTAAAGTTGCCAAAAGGTGCTAATTTTGTAAATCACCCTAATGCTGAGAGAACTAATTGATCATGTTCGGGCGAGAAGCTTAGGAGAGATTTAATGCTTATGAAAAAGTGATTGGCGTGGATTGGTCGGAAGTCATGATGCAGTTTGTTCAAATACTGAGGAGTGAACGAGTGCTTTGAAGTGGTTACCTCGTAACAATGCAGAAAAGTCTGCAGCGGACATGAAAGGATTTCCCGGCGAATTAATATTCAGTACAAATGAAGATTAAAGGTCTTTTTAGGTGTTTGAGACAAATTAAAACAATGTATATGGTCGTAATTGGGGCTCACCTTCATCGTCTTCTTCGTCCTCTTCATCCTCCTCGTCATCCTCGCTCTCGGATATGTGCACTGAAACTTGGCTGCTTTCTGGTTTGCTCCACTCAAAGAAGACGCCAAAGCCGAGGTCGTAACTGTCCGTGGCGAATTCCCAGAATAAACATGTGCCGTCCTCATGGGTCGGAACTCTCACCTGAATGAAAATTGGAAATAAATTATTTATGCAATGGTTATAAGAAAGATTAATCAAATTTATGAATTAAATATGAATAAAAAAAAAAATTAAATAAAAAAAAACATTGAAAAATCAGCCTTAAATCTAGGACTTGAGATTGAAACTTTCAGCTTTTATACTTCATTATAATTATTCTAAGTTTTTGAAAAACTCAATGATTTAATCTAATTTATATGATTTAAAATTAATCACATGACAAAAATTTTCAACTGGTTGTCAGATTTGTTCAAAATATAAGCATTTGTAAAAAAAATGCATTCAGCTTCAATTTATTTTAAAATATCCAAAATTAAGAAAACATTAATAAAATTGCAACTATTTTTTTGGTAATTTTGAATGAATTATTCTTACAGTGACTGTCTCGCCATGTCCAACTTTGATTATAGAATCTCCACCTTCCCTCCTGATCGCATCTTTGAATTCTCTAATATCCTTCCTTGTCCACATGTTTGCCGCCGAGATGGGTGAGTACTCTGCTTTGATTAAAATTTTATACAAAATGAAAGACAAATCAAAAACTTCTTCTACCTTGGGAATCTTCACTCTCGTCGGCATCGAGATTGGCTCCGTTGGTCAGTAGCTGCGTTTTCTCGTTTTGCACGTCGTCGTCGGCCAGCGCCGTCCGGTTGTTGGGCATCGTGGCCGGTCGCTGCAGCAGCTGCTGCATGTACTGGTGGTAGTGCTGGTCTTGCAGTTGTCTTATCAGCACCGCTTGCTGAAATTTTCGCCGATCAATAATTAGAGCACCATCCGAATGATTAAAGGAAGAGCTTCAAACGAACCTGGTCAGGGTTGTCCGGGTACTGCTGCTCGGCGTACGCCTTGAACTGCTGGAAGGTTTGCTGGTTCAAAGCGTCCTGGATTTGCCGCCTGAAACACACAAAAAAAGCCGTCAACCAACCATCTCGTGGATTTGTGGATAAAAAATAAATGGAAATAAAATTCCCCATAACAGAATTGACTTTGAATGACTGACTGATTTCATCACTAATTTAAGTGCAAATATATATTGTTAAGTATGCCACTTGATAACAATAAATAGCATTTTAATTGAACGATGCCTTTTATCAGAGGCTGCTCTAATTATAAATAAGTAGAAATAATGAGTGCTTTTGAATATTTATTTCTAAACGAACAAATATATAAAAGAAAAAGGAATGGAAAACATCAAATTTGCAATGAAATAAATTAAATTTTGGTGGGAGGAATTGTGAGATGATGAAGCAAGAATGAGCAATAATTCATGTAACATCCTTTAAACCGCTTTAAACCTTTAAATAAAAAAGTAATATTAGTTATAAATTTGTTTTGTGGTATAATTTCCAACGAAAAATAATTTAGTCTTCTCTCTATTCTGACCAAAATTATAAAAAATTATATTGTTAAAAAAAAGATTGAATTCAAGAGTGTAAAATTTTTGTTACAAACTGTTTTACGTAAAAATGTAGCTTCAAATAATTGTTCACAGAAATATATTACTTTGAAACAAGAATATTTTTAAAATGTTGATTTTTGTACTTATTTTTGACAAAATAATTTTACAGCTCATGAATTATGGCTGCAGCGGAAACATGTAGAGCAGGATATTGTTTTTTTTTCTTAAACTAAAAACAATTCACAAAATCAATTGAGGAAAACCCGATTTTAAATTAAAATCACCAAAAATTCATTATTTGTATTTAATTTTCAAAGAAATTTTTAAGCATAATCCCATTGGCCATTTCAAGTTTCCTTTAATTCCTAATTAATGCTGCATTAATCTTTAATAATTATGTCACGCTTTAAAAAAATTCACGATACAATTTTCTTAAAAATAATAAATGGTTTTTAAATTTAATTTTTTTTTTTAAATGCAATTAAACAAAAAAAATTTCTTTGATTCAAAGAAGAAGTCTTTCTTTAATAAACAGGAAAAAAAGTACATGTTGATTTTCTGTTTATAGGGTGTGTTGATCAAATATTAAGGCATCTTAAGGAATAAAAAAAGTTAAGACTTCACTTATTCAGAGAGTTTTGTGCATTTTTCTTTTTCAATTAAAAATAATTCATTTAAACTGTCTGTAATAGCTGCAATTATTCTTTTAGAAAAAAATCGATAATTACCGAGATGATCGTCACAAATTCGGTTCCCAGAATCGCAAAAAAGCGGCACTGGTCTCTTGAGTTTTTTGCACCCAGAAAAACAGCGTTTGTGTACTTTTTGGTTTAAAATAGGCACTATTGCTTGATTTACTGTCAAGACTACACAAATTATTTATATCAAGTGGTTATTTTTTAATGCGATTTATGTGAAAATAATGGAAATTTTGAATGTCTGCAAAACAAATAACCGCAAATTGTTGAGAAAAAAAGTTCAACCGGATTTTTCCAAACTTTATAATTCTAGGGCAAAAAAATTATTAAAAACTTTCGAATGAATTGACGATTTCACCGTCTGCATTCAAGGTGAAATTAATGCTAATCGCAATTTTCAGCCTCACCTTCACCTCTAATTAGCTCTCGATTTAGAAAAGCGCACATGCATGCACTGCTTAAATTACCTGCAGTCGGGGCTGCCCTTGACTGTTCACGCACCACCTGCTCTCTGCGGCCGCCGCGATAACAATGCATGCGCGACACAGAGCGATATTGGTCTCGCGCAAAGCGAATGAAACTTTTCAGAGGAAGTCGCTGCTGCCCATCTCAATGAGAAAAAGCTCGGCGCGTGACAGAATTTTCGAGTGTCAAACGTAAATCTCTGCCCGGTTGCGGACGGTGGAAATTTGAATAATAAATTATTTGAGCGGGCGACACGCTACAAACTGTGGCTCTAACTTACTGAGGTGTGTGGGAAAAGTTGGTCCCGAACCCCGACTGGGCCGACAATAAACCGTGATATCTGATATTTGCCGTCCCCCTCCACACATGAGAAGGATAATCTTTTTCAGCGCCTTTATTTTTTATGGCGCGGCTTAAAATGTTTGAAACCAAGAATGTGGTTAGTGTTAAAAAAGGGGACTCAGCAGTAAATTAGTAAGTTTTAATAATTCCATCTCCGTATTTTATTTTTTTTTAATTCACTATTTTTCCAGTTTTAGTCACGGTCTGCAACCCTATTTCATGAGCAACAAAAAAAAAATACAAAAAAAATCAACAAATTCAAAATATTAAAACTAACGAATTTGTTATTTTATAAGATTTTGAACAATTTTTTTATTTGTCCAAATTGTTCTTGTCAAAAAATGTGGTTTTTTAATTAGGATTTTTGTTTACTTTGAGGGTCAATTTCTCTGAACATTTTTTTTTCTTTTTTGTTTAGTATCAAATAAAAAATAAAAAAATTCAGCATTTTGATAAGGAGCTGAAAAATAAAATTTAAATTTTTCAGTTTTTTTTTCTGGAGCGAGGCAGTATCAGCCACAGGCACATTAATTTGCATTCAAATTGGGTTTCCTCGTCATTAAAATCCCTTTCATCAACAAGACAATAGAGAATAAAATAAGAATATATTGAAATAAATTATCTCCCCCATTGTTTCTTTGCTTTGATGTAAATTATTTTTGTCGCTAGTTAGAATATATTTTGGGCATATCTTTATGAAGCTCAGAAGTTTTTTACAGGGGGCATAATAAAAACAGAGATTTATCTTGGTTTTTTTTTAGATATGTCAGCAGGAAAAGTCAAAACATGGTTCGTTATCTAGCTTGCGACATTGGAAACAGGAAAACCCCTATTTCGTTAATCAAGCAGAAGAAACAAGAATTAATGCTTCTCTCAATATACAAAATTTACATTAATGAGCACCGAGTTACTTACCGAGTTCAAAAATGTATAAAATAAATATGATTATTTTGTTTCAGAAAGTGGCAAAGCATGAAAATGACAACTGTTTAAGCAGTGCAAATAGTTTTGGCAGCTCATTTTAAAAATATTTATCAGATCATTAAGTAATAAAAAAATTGCAAAATAAAATCACTGGATAACCTTATTTTTGATTTTTTTATAATAAAAAATAGCTACCTTTGAAATTCTTGTCTCGCCTGCTCCTCCTGCTGTTGCTTCAGCATTTCCTCCTCCAGCGCTTTTTGCTCGGCCTCCACGATTTCTCGCTCTTTCACTTCCAATCTATCATCACACGAATTTATGATTAATATTCGCGATAATTGTAGAAAAAAACTGCTCACAGTCGCCTCTCCTTTTCCTCCAAGTCGCGTTTGTTGGCCTCGACGAACGAGTCGAAAAGGGGGCACAGTTCCTCGAGCCGATTGATGAACGCCAACATCGAGTCTCCCTGCGACATGTTCCCCAGCGCCTGCCAGGCCACTCTGCAAATTTGGCCAGAAGCGATTCAATTCAATGCTAATGTGTCATCCGCGACTTTTAAGGTAAGATTACTGACCTCCTGTCTCTGCCAATCACGTCGAAAACTCCCAGCGGCGGCAAATTCTCCGCTTTAAAAGGTCCGTGCACCACTTGCTGCGTGTACGCCACCAGTTTCAACTTGTCGTCGTACGAGAGGTGCACAGCTTTTCCTTCTTTCTCTGAAAACGAAAAAAGATAATGTCATTATTTTCAGTTTTAAACAAACCGGGTTTTAAATTTTAATAATCTTGGATTTACTTTATTCAAAATTTATAAAAGTGAAAAATCATTTAGATTTATGTAAATTAAATTAAGTAATTGGCTTTTATTGATCCAGGTCCGTTGCAGCCTCAGGTGAACGACCGGGAAGTAAACACGTATCAAGGTCCCGGATATTTTTCGAATTGAAAACAAGGATTTCGTCAACCAACCCTTGTAGAATCTGAGCGCCAGTTTGTACAAGTCCTTGACTTTGAAGCCCCACTTTTGGGCGCAGTGCTTGTCCTCGATGCTGAGCTCGCTTTCGGCCTCGATCTTCATGCTGCCCGATTCCGAGGTGATGCTCAACCGAGAGATTTTCTGCTCGACAAGAACAGTCTCTCCATTGACTGCCATGACACTTGTCAAAATTGCAGAATGTCCAGCTGGAAGGGGGCGGAGCCGCTCGGTGAAATAAAACAAAATTTGCTTTAATTAGGTTAATTAACGCTCGACAAGGGAGATTATATGGAAGATTATAGAAGGGAAGACTTTTTAAAACTAAAAGTTACTTTTCTTCATTCAAAAATTAAGTGATTATTGAATTTCAAATTTATTTTGTTTTCTATATTGGCGCTGCCGGAGTAGCGCCATAAATGAGTACTATAATTTGAAACTAAAATGGCGCAAGGGGAAAAATCAAAGCAAGCATTTTATTGCGTGTGCAAGATCATAAAAATAAACCACTGCACAAATTCAATAATACCACTGTGCTAATTTCTGGTTTTTATTGACTTTTTATTCTAGCTTTAATGTTTTTAATATAAATTTGTGTTAATGATTTTGTTATGACACGACGAAACCTATTCTGCGCTTTGACATTATATATGACACCGGTGCGAATCTATTTTACTGACCCTACTTTTTCAAATGTTATGGTTATGTGTATAATTATTACATTTTTAATGTTGTCATAATTTTGCTAGAAAAATTCAAAAATTTCTTGGTCTTCAAAATACACTGCGTAAGGGGTACAGTTTAAGGCTACAATGTTATTTCTTGTACATCAGCTCTCCTTTTTCAAAAAATGGCACATTCGAATTAATCATTGATTGAGTTAGTAGCATCTTCTAGACGACTCAGGGTACCGGTCCTTCAATTCCGTCTTGAATTGTCGAAACAGATTTCTGTTGGTTTCCTGATCAGCATCTTTTTGTTCGTGAAACGAAGTGGCCGTCTTAAAACCGTCGTGAACCAAAAACGCATTGTCCAGGATGGAGTACTTGAAGCCAGCCACATGCAACTCACAAACCTTAAATTTAAAATTTTTATAAATCCAAAGATAAATAATATGAAATTATTCAGTTTATTACTTGACTAATTCTGTTGAAACCGTATTGCTTGAATCTCTCATCGTAGAAAGGGGCAGAGTTCCTTGAAATGTAGAAAGGCTCCCACGGGTCTTTCCACAAAACTTCGAAGATCGGAACCAAGTTCTGTTTGGGCGGCTCTTTCTGCCAAGCTTCATAATCTGTGTGCATCTAGAGATTTAGAGACAAATTTAAAATAAAAAAATTAATTCAGTATCAAATTTTCAGTACCTGACATTTCCAACAAAGCTCAAAATAAAAAGGTCGGACAGACCCCTCCTCCGCAAGCGTCAGAAGTTGCTGTTTGCTTTCAGGGACATCCGACCCTGACCTCAGTTCAAAGGTAGGTACAACGTAAACCGTTTTGTCGTCTTGTTGAGATTCCTTGAAAAGTTTCGCTCTCGAGGCGAAGGCGAGAAACATTTCCCTGAGACGCGCCGAGGGCAGCATGTCCACATCAACGACAAAGACAAACTCGGTCTGGGCGGCTTTTCTTGCCACATTCCTCAGCAGGTTGACAGGGTAGGGCACCTGGGTGCGGGCGTAGTTCTTTCGGCCAGAGGGGCCGTTCTCAAAGTTGCAGTGGCCGACGGCGTCCGTGGGCAGAATCGGCGTCCGATGAATGGCTGCCCCAAGGGGACTGACTAGTTGGAAGGACACGTTTTGCCTGACCGAGGAGTGGCAGAAGCGGAGCCGGGCAATGTCCCACAAGGTGGAGCCCAGGTCGTGGATTTCTGAGAAGATGGCCACAGAGATGGGCCCCTGCCACCTGGAGGCGAGTTTGATTGTTTCCCTGAGGTGGTGCGAAGAGCACTGGGTGACTAGAGATATGTCTGGCAACGGGAAAATGCTGGTGTGGCTGTTGGCCACGGCCAACGATGGCACCACCCTGTACTGTCCACTTGTGTCCAACACTCCGCCTCGCTGCAGCATTCGAAGCAGCTCGGAAAAATGACTTTCAATCTAAAAGAGAATTTTTATTAATTAAAATTAGAATTTTATTATTATATTCCAAATTACTGAAGTGACTGGAGCTGGATGTTCCTCTTGCTCGTGTCGTCCGACCAGGTAAATGGGCACAGGATTGCTTTCGACATTGGAAAAGCTGGGCTCCTGCTGTTGTTTCATTTGTCTCCCTTCGAGTCGATTCAGCAGAATCAGGTGCAGCACTTGGAGACCAGCAATGATGGCGATCAAGAAGAGAATTGTGCGACCCCAGGAGGAAGCGATCTGCATCTTTTTGGCACTCTGGTTGAAGTTGACAATGGCTCAACTCATTTCGTTTTTGATGAAGACCAAAAATCTGTAATTAAAAATATTCTCTCATGTAAATGTATACAAAAAAATTCTCATTTAGTTACTTGCAACAAGTCAAAACAAAGCTAATTGATAGTTGCAAATTTTCTTCAGGCGCAGCTTTAATAAAACATTTTTTAAAAAATATAAATTTTATAAAATAATAATTTCTTACTAAAAAAATTTAAAACGCCTAGTGCAAAAAAAATGATAAAGAAAAAATATCACCTAGTACAATTTAATATTAAAATTTTTTGGGATCAAGTTTTGCCCTCTGACTAAATTGATAAAATTTTTTGCCTATTTTACACATTATACTTTAAAGCATTCCTAACTTTTAAACTAAAATTTATTATGCGCGCGAATCACAGAAAGGGGGCGTGGCACTGCATTGATCAGGGTCTGTTTGTGTTTACATGCGGCACTTCTAAGGACCGCGTTAATTTTAACGAAATCGACTAATTTGCGGCGCTTTGGTGCCCAAATACTGCACGAATCAAGAGTTTAGAAACTTTAAATTCGAAAAAATGGCGAACCGGACAGTGAAAGACGCGAAATCCATCAGAGGAACGAATCCGCAGCACTTGGTCGAAAAGATCATTCGGTCCCGAGTGTACGATTGCCGGTACTGGAAAGAAGAATGCTTTGCTCTAACGGGTATGTGTATTTTTCTCCTGTAAAATATTATTTATTGAAATTCATTCCAGCCGAATTGCTCGTGGATAAGGCCATCGAGTTGCGTTCGATCGGAGGCATTTTCGGCGGCAACATTCAGCCGACGAATTTCATCTGCCTCGTTTTGAAAATGCTCCAAATCCAGCCAGAGAAAGACATCATCATTGAATTCATTAAAAACGAGGAGTTCAAGTAATGGAAATAATAATAAATATTAAAAAGGCTTAAATTTTTTGTATAAATTAAGGTACGTTCGCGCACTCGGGGCTTACTACATGCGATTGACTGGTGCGTCTCAGGACGTTTACAAATATTTGGAGCCTTTGCTGAACGACTACCGTAAACTGAGGATGATGAACAGAGAAGGCAGTAAGCGATATCTTATTAGGAAAAAATTATATATACAATTTCATTGATTTATTTTGTATTAGATTACGTCCTCCTCACAGTGGATGAGTTTATCGACAACTTGCTGAGAGAGGAACGATTTCTGGATGTCATTTTACCAAGAATTCAAGTAAGACAAAAATTTGGTTAAAATTTTAATCTTTTTCTTTAAAATTTGTTGTAAATCAACTCACAATTTATTTGAGCTTTTTTTAACATTGTAATCTAAAATTTCGATTTATAAAAATGTGGCCTTTTTTATTTCAAGTTTTAAAACTTTAAAAAATTTCAGAAACGACATGTTCTTGAAGAAAACAATGAACTTGACCCACGAGTTTGCGTGTTGGACGAGGATTTGGAGGCGAGCGACTCGAGTGACGAAGAGGAAAAGCCGAAAAAGGCCAGCAGGGAGGTCGAACCTTCGAGGAGACGTTCTCGGTCAAGGTCAAGATCACCGAGGCCAAAGAAAGATAGGGATTCAGATAGGACAGACAGACGGTAGCTTAATAATGAATGTAAATAAATTAATCAAAATAAATTTAAAAAAAAATTTCAGACGCAGAGAAAAAGACAGAGAGCGAGAAAGAGATCGAGACCGCGAAAAGAGGAGACGGAGTCCCGAAAGGAGCAAACGGAGATCCAGGTCAAGGTCAACGTCTCCTTCTGGTAATTCCGGATTGATTTGAAGTTTTCTTAAATAATTTCTTTCATTTCATTTTAGGGCGGCACCGAGGCCAGAGGGAAATTGATTATCGCAGGAAAAGTGACAAGTCGAAGCGAGACAAGGAGAGGGATCGCGACAAGGACAGAGATCGCAAGCACCGAGGAGACAGTCGCAAGGACAAGGACAACAACACCGACCAAGAGGTGGCAGAGGCCAATGCCCTCAGGGCCAGACTGGGGCTGCCGCCACTCAAATGAATGTTCTTACTTTCTCGCGTTTGTTTTAATTTAATGATTAATCTAATAAAAAAAGTCGCAAGAGATTTTTGACATGTAATTATTCTTTTAAAATCCAAATGAGAACGCAGCTTGGTTATTAGTCAAATAGTATTTTGAAAGGTTTAATTACTACAATGGCATGCATAATAATGCATAATATATTGGAGATCATTTTTTTCTTCAAAAAACTAATGCATTGACAATTTTTACCAAAAGTAGCAGGTTAAAATGAAATTTCTGAAGAGCAATAATTTATGATTATTTTAAAAAAGACACTAAATTAAAATTTACGGTCAATTTTGAAAATATTGTGTACTTATAATTTAATTTCTTTCAGAAGTTGTCTTATTTTGAATGTTTACAAGTGTATTTGACCATAATTCTCCCATTAGCTCTAAGATTTTGTTGAAATTTTAAATCTGATAAGAAATTTTTAAGCTTCAATTAAATCAATTTAAGATAAGAGTTTCAAAATTATCTTACCAGACTGTTGCGTTTCCCAGTTTTCGACGGGAAACTCTGATTTTTCCTCTGCGTCCATTTGTCTTTGATTTAGGAGAAGCACTTCGAGGCGATTTACACGATTTCAGATATCACATTTCAATGCAGTTACGAAAAAAATATAATATAATAAATTAGAAAACGATTTTTAGTCGAAATTTGAAGTTGGAACCTCAAGAGAGCGAAAATTTAGAATCAAAACAAACAGCTCGAGAAGGACTAGAAGTGAAAAGTGGGCGTGGTGACGAGAGCGCTAAAATTCCACTGGGAAAACTTATGCAACCCCGTCGACGCAACTGTATAGCGGATAGTATACCACAGTCGTTACCAGGCGTTTTTCACATATTATGTTGTGTGCTTTGTTTTGAATTATTAAAATCAAACCCATATTTGTTTCTAGGCAATTCACGAAAAATCATTTTGAATCTATTCATCGTTAATTTCTTACTTTTATATTCTCTTAAGTGATTGAAAATAAAATAAAAGAACTTTTGTTCTTAATTAATTAAGTAACTATTTTATTAAAAGAATCTGAAACCAAAATGAAGATTTTTAACAGGCTTTCATACAAAGTATTATATTTTTTAATACTAAGACAGGTCAATAAAGCGCAGATTCCATTTATATTTTATTATAAGTATGTGTCAGTATGAAACTGTTCAAAATTGTAAATAATTTAAAGTTTTACTTGGACGGAACTGAAGCTAAATTTCAAATTTATTTTTGTGCACCTTTAAAATCAGTTAGATTGTTTCATTAAATTCCAGCTTACTTTAATATTTCCATTTAATTACTTCAAATTGTAAGACGCTCCTACAGCAAAAAGCCAACAATCAGGTCACGCGCGATCGCGATCAACAACTTTAAATTTCCATACATTTTTTGGACATCAACCAAATCATACATTTAAATATATTCAACTGCACAGCAGAGTGTTTTGCGAGTGTCGTCAGCAGCTCATATGTACAGCTCCAAATTTTAATACTGCCTCACAATTAACAGGACGGATTTTATCACTTCAAAAGGCGGCGGCAAACTTTGAACCAAATCTTCTCTCACAGTAGCTCTCAACTGGAAAAAATAACACATTCAATTAAAATTTAAATTTATAAATTTAAGAACAAAATCACCTCTTGGCTGTCATTCCAATTCTGCGCTTGTCCAACTCTTTCTGGATGGAATCTGGGAGCCGATGGGGAGGCTTGCTTGAGTTTCTCTCACTTATAATATCTTGCTGCAAAATTATTTTAATTAAAAATTACTATTTTTTTTTTTTAATTTCTGGTATTACTTTGAATCGTGGCCCATAGACTGAACTGTCACTTTGCGCCAAAGGGTTAGTCCAAACATCAGCCTCCGTCTGTGGCAGTTGCGCCTTATCGGCTGAATAGGTTGGCCTGGCTGGAATAATGGGTGATCGGCAGCACACCCTTTTAAACAAATTATTTATAAATAAACAGAAATATCAAGTAAGTTACGAGTTGACGTCTTCCAATTTGCGCAGGAGCCGCTCGTTTTCTCTGCACACAAGTTCCTGGTCCCTGAGCAAGGCCTCTCTGGTGCTGAACAGGTCTGAATTTTCTTTTCTCAGGGCCTCATTTTCCCTCAAGAAGTGCTCGGCCATTTTGGCCAAATCCTCAGGCTTCAAATCAGCCAGCTTGGAAATGTCGGGCGAAACGCCATCCGGCCAGGGCACTTTGGAGCTCCACTCGCCCCTTACTGGACCAGACATTGACCTTCGTCTGCCAGAACCTGTTCAAAGTTTGGAGTTAAGTTTTTAATTCTATTCAAATGAAATTCGGCAAACCTTTGTCTGCACTGTTCATTCTGGATCTGGACGGCTCAGAAGTGGAGGCGCTCAATTGAAGGGCATTTCGAAGGTGGTCGTTTTCGTCCTGTAAGGCGTTCACTTCTCTCTTAAGTGACAAAATCAAAGCCTCCCTTGGATCCTGTGAATTTTTTTTATGATTTATCAAAATGTTATTATATAATTTTAATAATTTACCATCACAACAACTGGTTTCGTGCGGATTTTCTTGGCTCGGGCCGCGTATCTTAAGGTGTTCAGCGTCTCAGTGTAATTCGACTTTGCTGGAGAAACGCAGGCAATCTGATAGATTTTAGTAATTTTATTAAATATTTGTGGAATTTAATTATATATATTTTACCATCAAGGTGACGCCATTTCCAGCTAAGCTATCGGCCAAAAGCTTGGTCAGTTTACTGTCACGGTACGGAATGTGCCCTCCTTTCTTTTTACTGTCACTCAGAGATGCAATGCAGTAACCTTAGAAATTATAAAATAGTCACCACTTTTAGTTTGATTTTCTTTATTTACCTAAAACCATGAGGCTCTTGTTGATGTTATTCGCCTCTTCGAGAGTTTTTCCCTCGCTGTGTGTCTTTTTGGTCATTTCTGAACCAGCCAAGTCGACGAAATTTATTTTTCCCTGTTTTGTAATAAAAACTCCATCATCCGCCGACATCTAAGGAATGCAAAGTCTTAAAATAACATCGATAAAATTGCGCAATCCAACCTCTGAGGTGATATGAACAGTGAGGATTGTGTGACTTCGGCTCGAGTGGTCATTCATGTTGTGCGCGCCCACGGATCTGTTGCGCATTCCTGTGTCAGTAAAAATTAGATAAAGATATATTGAAAGAAAATAATAATTTGGCTGCGTCACCTTCTTCCAAAACGGCCAGCAAGTCGTCGAGCTGCTCGCAGTCGACGGTGAAAAGGTTCTCGACGAAAAAGCCGCGGCTCTTCTTGGACCATCGCACTGACAAGGGTTTCCTGGCAGAACCAGGGTTCAGAAGGTCGATCACCTTAAAAAGAGAAAAGAAAACATTTTCTATTTATTTAATTTTAAGAGAAATAAACGAGCTATAAAAAAAAAATATATTTTGCTCAATTGACACTCTTGAGGAGATGATCATGGAAATGAAGAGATCGGGCTTTTTCTCATTGAAGAACGTGGCCGAAACTGGTAGAGCTGTTTTGTTTTTTAATAAAAACAATTTTAACAAGGTAAAGCCCGATGATCTCTTCAATTCTATAAAATTATAATTTAAATAATATTTTATTTGAGGCTATAATAATGTTTTATTGCACATGTGCAGGAATTTTCTTCCTTTTATGGAACATATTCAGTAGCACGAGGTTTCAAAATCCTTATCTGCTTTGCATTTTGAATGAGCGTGCTCGTGACAAAATCGATAATGACCCAAATTTACAGCTCGTGGGAGAGCATAATTTTGACAAGAATAGAGTGCGATTGTGCACACAACTGCCAGCTTTTATCAAGCCGCCATAGACACGACTCAACACGATTGTTAATTGAAATTCAAATAGGTCGACACACATGATGTGACCCAAAATCATGTAGTGATGTAAACTAGATTTTTTTAAATATTAATTATTTTAATAAAATTAGTAGCAACTTGAGAAAACGGTAATGAGGTGAAATGATCACATTAAATTTAAAAATTTCAGAGTGAAATTTTTTACAGTTTTTCACTTTTTTTCTATTTTTATTGTAAATTTTTTTTTATTGCATTCCGATTTGTAAAGTATTTTTTCAATAGGTACGGTTTTTCAATTTAAAAAAAGCTTTCAAACAAGAATTTGCCTTACTTTCATTTTAATAATTACTTAAAATTTATTATATTATAAAATTGTGGCATTTCAGTTCAATGAGTTACAAATTTAGATTGGGTCGATAATTCTCCACCAGGGTCAAAACGGCGCTCGGCGTAATAGGCAACACAATGACCAAGGACAAATCCTCAAACAGCCACTAAATTAATTGAATGCATATTTGAGTGTAGAAATAACATTGAAAATTATTTAAAGTTTTTGGTGATCAGCTTTTAAAATTTTGTCCGTATAATTATTGCGTCTGGGAAGGTGTCAAGCGGGGAAATGGTGGCCACTTGCGCACAATAAGGGTTGCGAGACTGTCGGAAATATAATCAAGTGAAATATGTGTTGTGGGTGGCGTCGGGTTTGGTGCCAGGAGCGGTTGGTTTCTATTGTAACGAAAAACTCGAAGCCACTGTACTGATCGCTCTTTACACGCGTCAGTCTGCGCTACCCGCATGCAAAAGAGAGGTTCAAACCATTTATAACTTTATAATGGGAGATTGAGTAATGGTTCAATGTTGAATACACGTTGATGTTCTGGTGAATGAACCAAAATTAAATTTCAACCTGGCGCAGATTTGCCAGAAAAGATATAATAGAATGAAAAACAAAAAAATTAGTTCCTGTTGTAAATAAATATTTTTAATAATTATTTTGATGTTTATTCAATTGAATTTTATTTGTTTTTAATTATTTAATTATTGAAAGAATATTGAAAAGAACTAGAAACAGATAAGCGAGAACTGACCTTCTCATTGTAGATTTCGAGGAACGATGCCTTGAGCACAAAATGAACGTCTGGTTTCTGGCTGAGGAGTTGAAACAGGAATACGAAGGAACTGAAAACGAGCCCATGATTTGGGTCCAACGGGTCCGGCTTCTTGTCAAACTAAAATCATATTTAATTGGTATATATAATTTCATATATTGTATGTATAAAATTTCATATAAAAACTTGAAAATTTGTAATTTTTACCAAGCCTGGTGGGCCAGTGAGGGTGTGAGTCTTGCCACTTCCGGTCTGTCCGTAGCAAAAGACGGTGCTGGAAAAGCCTTCGACAGCCAGCTGCAGAAGTCTCTCAACGCCGGAGAAGTGGAGGACGTCGTTCTGGGTCGCCCCCGGACCGAAAACGGCGTGGAAGGAAAACAGTCGTGGTTTTTGGGCCACAAGGTTTCCCTCGAGCTGATATGAAACAAGGGTATACAATTTGTGTTATGCACATTACATTTTAAAAGTTTAAAAGTTCCAGTTTCATTTAAAATTTTGTAAAACACTACAATATTAAACTAATATTAAGTTGAAATAAAAAATCTCTCGTTGAAAAAATTTCAGACTGTTGGAAATAATCACAGGCATCTTTTAATTTCAAAATAAAAAACAGGTTGTGATTAGTTTTAATTACTTTCTACACAAATAAATAGACTAAATAGTAAGTTTGTGGGATGATTGAAAATATCTTAAAATTTTAATTAATTTACAATAATATAAACAAGCTGATTTCTTTCTTTAAACTGTATTGGAGTGATTTTTAGCAAATTGCAAAATTTTCGGGAACGATTTTTTTCTGAAAGGATTTTGAATTTTTGAAGGCCCCTCAGCAAAATTATCTTTTTTTGTAAAAGCTCTTACCAGAAGCTGTCCATTGCCAGGAAATTGCACCACCTCATCGTCTCCAGACTTATTTTCCCTGTCGCTCAACGGTCGAACTCTGTCCAGACAAAAAAATACATTCAAGGAAAAACTCGCGCGTCAAATTTTTATATCACTGCGGCGCAATATTCGAGCGACTCGCCCTTATTTGTGGTTTATTTTTTATGCAAATTAGGGCCACGCGCCGGTCACTCTTTTCGTGCAGCTTGAAACGCGCATTTTTTCCTTTTTCGTGGTGCAGGTCAAAGACTTCTTGCACCAAGAAGTAGAGTATTGATTGCGCACTTAAGTCGTTGGGGAAGGAAAATATAATAAATTTGCTGCTCTTACCGGATAACGACGCTGATGTTGTCTTCGTCGGACGCTGGAAAAGTGAGAGTGCTCTGGTCGAGGTTTTCCGATGACCCAGAACTGCGGACAAAAAATTTACTATCTTATTTTTATATCTACTTTTGCATTCTCTAATGCTTTTAAAATCATCGCCAATTGAAGTCACTATTAATATTTAATAAAATAATGATAAACCCTGGTAAAGCCTCAATGCTCAGAAGTCAATATTTCATGCTAATAATTTTGAATGTCTAATAATAATTTCAATTTTCAAAGAATACATTGAAAAAAAAGAGCAGACGAAAGCTCTCGAGAAGATTCTTATCAAACTCTATAAAAACACTGTCTGAGATTCATACAAAATATAATTATTAATAAATTTTGATTACATAATTATGGTTTTTCATAATGTTCACTGTCATCAGGTTTAATATAAAATTAAAGATAATCAAAACAATAGTTAACTAATATAAAATAATTATAATTAGTTAAAATTATTTAAACCATATATTAAACAAAAATTAAATAAACGTATTTGTTTGAGAATATTTTTATTACTTAAATGGTTTTACATTTAAATAATTAAATAAGTAATATTATAATGTATTCTTACAAAAACTAAGTCGATCTTATGGTAAAAAAAACAAGCCATAAAGAATTATTTTTCTTTGTTCTCAATTTATTGCAAAAATTCAATTTGAATTTCCAGTAGTTTTGTAGAAAACAAAGCAATATTACAATTTGGATTTATTGATGAAAATTTCATCCAATTATGCAATGATGTATTATGCAACAAATTTTCTCCTATTGTTGTTTCATTTCGTCTTTCCTTTAACCGCTTTGCACTCCGGTGCGCCTCTGATCGATTGCCAACGAAAGGAGGAAAAGACGCGACACAAAAGCAAATTAATGAATCATTCAGCGTGCAAATCGAAAGGAGGCGCGCGCGAGCTGAATTCCTTGTGAATAAATAAATGAGCATTGCTTTTCCTTTGCAGAACCGCGCCGGACAGCCGCGAGGTTTTTTTTTTTCAATGGACGGAAATTCAATCGATAGATGAGCTAAGGTGCCAATCTGATGTTGAGACGGACGGACAGTGACATGATGATTGCGAATTAATTATTCCGTCCGGCAAAGCAGAACGCGCAGTTCGCGGGTCACTGCTCCAATTGCGCGCCTCTAATTTCAACTCAATGAGCTTCCCCTGCAAATCTATCGATCCCATTCCATTAAAGATTCAGACTGTTTTTTTTCCTCTTCTATATTAATCATCATAAGGCATTATAAAATTGCATTACTTCTGCTTCAATATTGTGACAATTGATTTCAATCTTGCAGGCATTATTAAACAGTTTAAAATTAAAATATCTCAAAAATTAAGATTTTCATATGTATGCATATTAATGTATTTCTTTAAACGGGATGAATTTGAATTAGAGGGGGAAGTGTTAATCATTTGACTTTAAAAGAAGTTTTGTGTATTTTTGTTAGATTTATTATTTAATTACATTGAAGTACTCACAATGGCATCAATTTTACTTTAACACGCTTTGTCCCTCTTTGCCAAGATTTATTTCATGTTTATTAATTTTAAGGCTTGAGTTGGGAAGATGAACATGAACATTAATAAAAAATTTAAATGTCAATATTTGTGTCAAAAAATTTTAACGTTACTTCATTCAAGTAACGTAATAAAAAAAATTAATGAAAAGTCCATAAAATATAACATTAAAATTATTTAATTGTATAAACAAGATATGGTAAATATTTAATTATATCTTTATTTTTTAATAATTACGTGAAGAAAGTTTCAAATTAAATAACTTAAAAAGAGCATGCCAGAAACACGGCTCACATTTATAGACTGGTTCAGACTGGTTATTAGTTATTATACAGAATTTTCATTCATATTCCCCCCCCCCCCCCTATCAAAAACAAAAAAATTTTATTATAATTACTTTGTTATTAATGTCCAAATTATTAAATCACGTTGTCTACATTCAATTTTTGAACAATTTCTATAAAAAGAAAGGAATTGTTGTACAAAACGGCAAGAATTTTGCTAAAACTTCTGACAATGAGATCAAAAAGACCCCATCCGCCGCAGAAAGCCACTTGAATGGTTTTTTTTTATGTAATAAATTAGTTTTTTTTCCACTGCGCAAATTCGATTAAAATTGGAACGCATTTTTCCGAAGGTCAATTTGAATGGCTCTTTATTTTCTTCCTACGCAACACAATTTTCAATTTTCACTTTCATCAAGTGACAAGAAAATAATTATTTATCCTGTCAACAACGACTTTTGGTAGCGCCAAGGTCGCGATTTTCGCATACAAAGAGTGGTTTTTCTCCTTTGACCCTCGGCGCGGTGCAAGTATAAAAATCGAATCGGGCGTCCTTGGCGCCGGTGGTCGGTGAGCAGCGATAAAATAATTTATTATTGAACAGGGGGCGTGCGTGCCGCGGTCAAAGGCAATTTCTTGAAAGAATAAAGTGCACTGCACGAATTTCGGTGGGGCGGCGAGTCGAGAAACGAAATTCAAAGTCAAGGAGACCGGCATTTATTTTATTGCTTCCTATTCCCTATTCCCATCACGATTTGACTTTCTTGAACAAACAACCGAACGCGCAGCATTGAATTGAATCTTGCCACTTTCAGGTTTATTATTTATTGACGGCGGCCGTGCCCTGGAAAAGGCGCGAAATGAAATTTCGACTGAATCAACATGCGTGTCGCGAAAATGGGTCAATGGTCAATGCTGCAGACAATTGCAGTGTGACCTTTAAATGATACAAAGAGAGAACATTTCGGTGATTCACTTGAAACGGAAAATTATCTCATTGTCTGATAACAGATTATCGCTTTACAGAAAGTGTTTAAATTGATAAGAAAAGCTGCACTTTCTGGCCAAGAACCAAGAATCTTTGCACTCAAAATCGCAAATATTTAAAAAAAAAAATATATTCAATAAATTATTACTTTGCGCTTTTCGATTATTTTGAAACGCCGAAAATAATGCTCAGTTCATAAAATTAATTGTAAATCGCAGTAAAATAAAATCAATACCAGACCACAAAATTCTTGCTTGATATGCAAAATTTTGAAATTTATTATGAAATCGTTACTTTTTTATATCAATATTTTCATTTTTATTCACGCGATAAGCAAAATTAAACCTTGAGGCTAAATTTCCAGCAATAACAGGCAGGTTTTTACTGATTCGAACGATAGATAAACTAAACAAAGCGGTTGGATTATAGCAGCTCCTTTATGTAGATCTGATGTAGATTTAAAATTTTGTCATGTTTAATAATCTTTTTTTTAATAAAGTGAATATCCATGTAATTATAGCCAGCGTTATAAGATTAAAGAGTTTAAACCAGCCTTTATACCTCTTTGTAAGAAATTGAAAATAAAAATTATTGATAATTTCGCACCTTATTAGTAGAATATATTTTTTTTTTTTTTTTAAATAGTACAGAATAAAAAAAAACTAACGTGCTCGTCAATCTTGATTTTCTAATATTGTTATGAAGAAAATATGTGACACCACAGATTTTGCTAATTCTTGTTTCTTTATAAGTACGTACAAATAATTATGCTAAAAACTGAAGTTTGTGCATCAAATATATTTTAGATTCCGTGGATAATTCTGTTGCTTTTTTTTAATAACCGTTGGCTGAAGTATGACTTCTGATGACAAACAACTTTTCATATTAAACTGTTGCATTTTTTCTTAATATTACCACAAATTAAAGTTTGTTTTTAAAATGTATTTTTGATACATAAAAAAAAACTGAAAAATCCGAATTATTATTTTAGATTCCCTTTGTACCCTTCAATTTTTCGATTTCCAAAATCAGAAAAGACTATTCCCGTTCCTTTCATTTCAACGTCAATTTTTCCTGTCACATTAGAAGAAAAATTACGCTTTTTTAAATTTTTTTCACCGATTTGTTTGGAGCAATCATGATATTAACATCTCTCACCTCTGGTTAAAGTCAAAGTTGGCAAAGTCGATGGACTTGTTGGTGTCGCTGTTGGACTTGGTGCTCGGCGCCGCCAAATTAGCGGCGACGGTGCGTTTGCGAACGCCGCGGCCGGCCGGCGCGGGCTGATACTTGCGCTGCACCTTGTTCATGAAAACGCGGCCACCGCATCCTTGCCGGCCGAAACTGCTCGTTTGACTGACAGAGTGACCGACACCGGCGTGGCCGGTGTGTTGACCACCCGCATTCCACCCTTAGCGACTCGCCGTGTTTACCATCACATAAATTCGTCGCGTCACGCGCCCCGCTCGTTATTACAAAACGCACCTTTTCGATTTTCCTCAACTTTCGCTCGATATATCACGAAAATTGCGTTCGTGCTCACAATTTCATTTCATACGTCACGAAATTGATTTCTTCCTTCACACGTGATGCATGCGATTCATTCGGTGAAAAAAAAATCGTTCGCGGGGGAGGGTGACTGAAATTTGTGTGCAGGTTACGCGCGTTTTCATCCCTAGATAGGGGTCGACGAACTTCCTCTCCCTCTCGGCCGCCGGTCAGGTGCGACGACCGGCGATTGACCGGCATTCAAAACATATGATATTTCTGATTTTTCAGAATAAGGTGATTTAATTTTGTTTTTTAATTTTCAATATTATTTGATTATATTTATTCTTTATACCAAACAACAACCAAGTCAGTACAAAAGAAACAGAATTTGCTTCCATGACAGTACCACTTTCTTTATATGCACAAGAATGTATTATTTATTTAATTTAAATTAAAAATAAAAAATAATATTTGTAATTTTTTTCTCAATAAAATTCATTAAAAAATGTAATAAGTAAAATAATTTTTAAAATTACAAGAATTAAAATTAAATTTAACTAAAGGCTTTAAAGATCTTAAATTTAGAATTTTTTTAAGCAAAATAAATTATGTTTTAATTATGCATAAATTTTGTTTTAATTGTTTAATCTTATTTGTGAGAGCTAAATCATCAATAATATCCAAATTGAATTTTAACATAAACCATCAAATCACATTTTGGGAAAGGGACGCAGGTATACCAGAAATAGAAAAGAAATCAATTTTTGATCAAACACTCATCTTTTGTAAGGATGGGCAAATATAAATTTTATATTTTTGTATACAAAAATTATTTGTACTATTTCAGTTTCTCTTTCTGTCAAATTGAAATTGTTAGGGTTTTAGTCTTTTTTTCACTAAAAAAATAATAAATATTAAAAAAAATAATAATAATAATAACAATATTTTAATATGTAATAATAATAAAAAATAATTACTAACCATGAATCAATTATTAAGTATTTTTTGCACACATTCAATTAAATTAATAAACAGAAACATGCCTTCAGTAGAAAATAATTCATAAAAGAACCACTTAGCACTTTCAGAAACAAACACTATTTGTACTTTTGTAGAAAATTTTGGAAACACAGATGAAATAAAATGGAAAACTTATTGGAATTGACAAAAATAATTCGTTATTAATATCATGATTTAACTTTATAATGATTGATTTGATTACATAAAGAGCAATGGTATTATGTGCTCTACCTATGCGCATAAAAAGCGAAAACGTTGAATTTTCTTTATAAAAAAAATTTGTTTACTTTTAGAGGAAATCTAAATTTGCTGCTATATGAAATCGTTTCTTTTTAGTTTTATATTATAAGTTTATAGACATTTTTAATTGCCTTCTTCAAGCATATTTGATATTCTTGAAATCAGATCTCACTGCCAAAAAAATAATCAAAAGTGTTTTGTCATTTGTAACACAGATGGTGTAAATTATTTTCAAAAATGTCTCGTTAATATAGATTTAATTCGTGGCGTGCTTTGCGCAGTTAGAGCCCCATTTAGTTTACACCGCTACAAACAAACAATCACACGCAATCACGCACGGCGAGGATTTATTAGAAATTGGTCTCGCACGCATTCGAGAGTGCGCATGCACGTGTTCAAGAAACTCGTTCTCTTAGTCTCCAATTACCGGACAAACGCACTTTCGATAGTTTTTTTTAATGTTCGAGATCAAATTCCTCAAATAATCTCATCTCGCTCGACAACTTTCTTTCGTTTTGTATTCATAAAGTCGTCAGCAGCTGCGTCAATGTTTTACATAACGAGAATAATGTCGTCCAGAGAGAACAAGGCTCTGATATCTGCAATCGCTATTTCTTGGTCTCGATCGGCGCTGCTGATATAGATTAATTGTAATTAGGGATCATTAAAAAGGTCTCGACGAGCTCTCCCAGTGCACAATCACAGCTCGCCGCGCGGCACGTAGCAGATTATCAACGGATTTTGAAACGCTCTCGTCATTAATTGTGACGCGAAAGTGCAACGAGGGCGTTGCGTTTGCGTAATGCGGATAATGCAAATTGCTACTTCACATTATAAGTGAAGTTATACAGTTTGCTTAAATTAAGAGCTTTTTACTGTATAATCTTTCAAGTACACACAACGTAATTCAATAGAGATTTGAAATCAACAGCAAATTTAGCCAGTTATACAAATTTTGTAATTATTTTAATTATTTATAATCTGGACTTCTTGATATTATAAAAAAAAAACTTAATAAAAGAACTTTTTTTTCAATTTTGAATTTAGAGCCGTCTGCAGTCTTTCTGCAAATTCAAATCCGAAATTCCAATTTAAGTGCTTTAATATTTTTTGATCTTATCACATAGAAAACAATAAAAATAGGATTTAATATCATGCAAACTGCAAAAAAGTAATAAAGGAATCATTAAGTAATTAATATATGCACAATAATTCTGAATGTTGGAGAAAGGAATTTATATAGTGATGAGTTATTTGAAAATTTAACGCCCGATTTTGTCGAAATTTGATTTGTAGTGTCCATGCACCTGCACTTCAAATGAATTAAGTTAGCCTGCTTTTGGAAAATTTCTCGCAACGTCAAACAAGAAATTGAAAATTCAAATTGGGAGAGAATTGGCAGCCAGCTCTAGTAGTAGGTAATGTTAGGAAATAAATGAAATAATCATCAGTCTTCACTAAGCTGCAATCCAATAAGCGATTTGATTTCTACTGTTTATTGTTTAAATTATTGAGTTCCAAAATGAATTGATAATTATAATGTAAATGTATTATGCTCTACTGGTTCAGATTTATAATAAAAGGGAATTTTATACTAATTTATTGATTCTTATTTTGAAAGTAAAAAATAGTTCAGTGATTTTAAATGTTATATAATAAATAATGGAGAAAATAACAAATATTATAGATTAGTCTGGATAAAACCAATTAACGGCAACGATAACCACAAAAAATCAAATAATGAATTGTACAATTAGGTTAATTAACCACTCCATAAATTGATCTGGTGGAAATTTTGAGTCTTTTTGTGTGATGGCCGGATTGTTCCAGATAATTCTTCAATTGTAGGAATAGTTTTATTTAAACCTATCAATAAGTCTGAATCTGTCCGTCTCCAGGAATTGTTTGGTTCTTAAAAATATTATGAATACGCATTTCAAATTTAATTAAAATGAATTCTTTATATAAAAAGAAAAAATTAAAATTAATCAATACAGGTCCAAAACAAATCTCATGACGAGCATGTGCAAAAGCAGCTGGAAACCAAAATCAACAACCTCAGGAGTGACCTAGTAACCAAGTGTTAACAAAATGCGCCATATGAAATTTCTAACAATTCTCAGAACAATTTTAAATTAAAAATTGCAGAATACAGAAATCCAATGCAAAGTAAATTTCTAAGACCAAAAGTAAGTAAATTTTTAACGGAAATTAAATCAAATTAAAAGCAGTGCATCTGTTATCGACCAATGAACCAAATCTAAAACTATACAAGTTGCGTGTTTTGGTTTTTGGAAAAAGTGCGAGATTTTGTATAATCAGGGGGTCATTGACTCACCCGCTGGAGCGCGGCGGCGTGGCGTCGCCGGCGTACCTGCTGCCGAGGCCCGACGCCCTCGAGCCCCTGGACGCAGGCGGCGTGTGGTGCATGTCTACGCCCATGACATTTCTTGAGCTGCGGCCGACCCGAGCGAGCGTCTCCAAGGAAAGAACGCGGCGGTCACGCGAGACCCGCGATCGCCGCCCCCGATACGCGTGCGCCACCCCTTCCGCCCACGGCCTCACCGCGCGCACCCCCAAGAGCAAGGGACGCGCGTGCGACCTCCAAGTCTCTGTGTGAATATTTCAAAGGCGGCCGCGTTTGTTTGGCGGCGCATCGACTTATTCTTGTGTCCCATTCATTTTTCATGTGTGCCGCGGGAATGACAAGCCGATGACATTGTTTCAGCAGCTGTTATATTTGCCAAACAAATTACGTGTTTGACGAGGAATTAAATTGTCCTGGTCAATTCAAAGGGAAATATTTAATTAAATTGTAAATGAGTTTGGAATTTTTTTTTTCTTAATTTTTAATATTGAAATTTGTTGAACTGCACCTTGGAAGAAATTATAACAATATATTTTATCAAATTCCTTTGCTCATCAGGGTCTGGAAACCTTACGAATTCGGAATCAAAGCAAAGTGACTACATTTAACTCTAAATTTTTTGAACAAGCACAAAATTGAAACATTTCGATTCTTAATAAGACACACAAAAATTCATATCCCCAAATGGCATAATTTAATGAAGTAGAGAATTAGAGTTTGCAAAATTTTACATTATTTAATTATGAACAAATCAACAATCAAAATTTCTGGGAAATTCTGTTTACAATTTGAAATCTTAATCACAATATAAGGAAGCCCGTGGTTAATTTATATAATATATTTTAATGTATGTTATTATTAAATTATGTCCCAAATAAACAAAGAAAAAACGCTTTGTTTAACATCTTATTAATTTTCATAAAAATAAAATGTTTTATTGCAAAAATATTACAAATAAAATAAAAACAGAATATTATTTAAGTAATAAATTTTAATCCTAATTGTAAAAGCAATTATAATTATTTAGTTGTTTAAATTAAAAAAAAGCATAATAATTTTCATTTAATCTGAATGTGAACATTTCCTCTATGATTTTCAAAACAAATCCAATTAACGATCTAAATATAATACTTTCATTTGTTAATGTTGTTTATACACACAGTTTAAAACAAGAAGTATCATTTAATTAATATTATTATAATTATTTTGAAAGTTATATTTTCTTAGAAGTATCTTAATAATTAAAAATGTGAACGTTTCAAACATAATATTTTGAAAAGATGGTTTTATGTTACCGACTTTCGGTTAAGGATACTCCCAGCAGATTCTCCTCAACCTCCTTCAATTCACAATAAAATTTTCAACAATATCCAATGAGCATCCACGAAAATTAAATGTATTTTTCACAATGTTAACCCAATTTCCCAAGAACTTTGCGTGCAGAAACTGTTTTGTTTATTTTCATAGTTTTAATTTTTTTAAAGCTGTTCTGAACATCAATTCGATCAATTTGATCAAAATGGGTTTAGTTTTTTTTTTTATGAAGATGTTAATAAAGAGAACTTAGTCAAATTTTTATTTTGCAGAACATTTTCCAGATTGAGGGCATGATGATCGAATGCATAGGATGGATTTTAATTCGTATAAAAATAATGAAATAAGAAAAAGCAAATAAAAAGCCTCAATTAATTTTTACTACAAACATATTTAAAATATTTACTTGGATAATTACGTCAAGTCTATATAAAACTTCTACAGGAAATGTATTTTAATTTTTATAGCAATACTTTAGCAGACGCGCGTGTGAAACGCCAATCAACGCTTTTTACTTTTAATATTTGTGGGTCAGCTCGATTTCAAAGACGAGTGAAGCGTGAAAAGTAAAAACTCCTGCCGCTTCCACGTTTTTAAAACCAACAAAAAATTGTCCATAGCAAATTCGCACGCAAATCGCTGACTCGTTGTGCAACACACCAGACCAAGGCAGCAATCGAAGACGGTTTGTTATTTTCTTCCGAGCAGAGTTGTATAAACACGGCAGTGGATTGCACCAATAACATTCTTTCGTTTTATTAGCAAAAGGGTTATTTGTACGTTGGCAGTGCTGCTCCAATTTGCTTTTATCGGTGGAAATGCAGGCAGGCCTCTTACCACCCACAGCAATTATACCGTTTTCTGCGATTAGAGAAAAAGAAGAGTCACGCCGGCGACCAACTAACGCATGCAGGTAGGTTTCTGACTCACGGTGCACCAATTTTGCAGTTTTCAAACTTTTCGTGCGTTAATTCAGTTGCTTTCTTCTATTTATTATTTAATTTAAAATGCAATATAACTCAAATATGAAGCCATGGTTTACTTATGATTACAAGACAAAAACTAAAGTTACATTTGCTTGACTTTTTTTTATAAAAATTTAAAAAAATATTCTACCATGCAACGCTTTTATGTTGCAAAAAAAATATTTTCAAATTTCATTCTGCAATAATTAATTATTGGATAAAGTAAAATTAATATGAAGTAAATAAATTAAATTAAAATTATTACAAAATAGTCCTCATATTATTATAAAATTATATGCATTTATATAAAATAATAAATTATTAAAAGACGTAATATTTTTTTTAAATTAAATTTTTTGTAAATTTTTTCAGTTAATTCCGTCATCAATGAAGCACGTCGGCCAATTATTAATTTATACATAAAGCACCTGTCTCAAAGAATAGTTTTTTTCCTATTTCCTTTTTTATGGCAGGCACCACGCTCGGCTAATCTCGCTGCAATTCGCTCTAGCCTGCGAGATTAGCCTCTCGTCCGCAGCACCTTCCTCTTCCAGCTCCAGCAGTATACTTTTCTATACTTGCACTTCTCGCCATATATAATTCCTGGCCAACGAGTTTCAGTCGAGCTGTGGAAGTGAGAGGACGAGAGCGAGCGAAAAGGCCAACAGGCAGGACGCTTTCAGTCCAAGTGAGTGAGTGCGTCGGCGAACACCTCGCAGGTGCACCGGTGAGTTTCTTTCACGCTCCTTTGACATTTCCGACCGACCCAAGTTGCAATTCTCTCTCTCCATCTGGCAAGTTTCCGATTTAAATGAATTTATCTTCAAAATTAAAAGAGAAAATTCGAAAGAAAAAGTCATTAATTTTTATCTTGAGCCAGCAAAACCATTTAAAATCGAGTTTAATTAATTTTTTCCTAATTTATTCATTCATTTATTTCAATGAATTCTGATGATAAAAATACTATCTCATTATTTATAAAAACTATTTATTTATTTTTTGTATCCTTTCCAATTGGGGTTCAAATACAACACCCAATTTCTTGGCTTTTTCTCTTATCAGAAACAATTGTAAGCTAATTAAACTCTTCCAAAAGGTTCTGTTTCTATCCTGTAATATTATCTGACAAGACTCTTGCGTGAAACGCTTATTATCAAGTTGTGAAGATTTTATTATCTTAAAAGAGATTAACTGTAAAATTTTTGTCACCAGAAAGTTATTTTTCTTTTTCCAACGCTGATCAATATCGCGTTCCCAGAATTAAGTGTAATTTATAAATTATCAGTAAAACGATCGTCAACTTTAAAGATTTCGGCCGAATCAAAAGTTTTTAAGTGGGTTCTATTTGCGAAACTTGAACGCCCATCAGAACGTAATAACAATTGCACTTGCTTGGCCGCATTTACATAATCCTACACGTTGTGTTTCGTTCAAGACCTTGCAGTGGAAGAGTCACTTTAAAGCTTACTCAAGTTTTCGACCTAGAAAAATTTAAATCGAATCATTTTCTTCCTTATTTAAATTAACCGCAAGACTTTACATAAATTTATTTATATCGATTGTGATATATTTGAACTGATAAATTTGTGCGTCAGAAGGTTTTCCCATCAAGCCCAATTTAGGAGATGTTTCCATCGCAATAATCGCGTGCCAGGCTTAGTAAGATAAGCGATCAAAGGCAGGCATTGATAACGAAAGCACCCGTGGCTTTTGGCTTTTTCGTAAGTGCGCGAATATGCTCGAAAATTTTGCAACGGAGAATAAAATGATAAATAAAAACAGCGGCAGCAGGATGAATTGCAAAAATTGTGTTTTTTGAGTGTGCTTGAGCAATTGCGGCCTCAGAGCCGTCGCCTCGACACGATTTCAAAGAGTCCAGCTGTTGTTAAATTCTGACTTATCACTCTTTACCACTAAAGTGGAACTCGGTTACTTATTTTAATTTTCTCTCTCTTTGTACGAGTGCAACAACCTAGGCATTATAGGCAGATCTCTGACTTGATTGCGTAATCAATTAATTATATTTATGTGGTTGAAATTTTTTACGTCACTTTGTCGGAGTTAATCAGTCTACGCGAGTCGTTATCGTTGGAGATTATTGTTATTCAGCTGATATATCAGAGAAGAATGAGTAAAACTTGACTGCTGAAATTCAGCCGATTGAGAATTTAATCAGTTTACCTAATATCCTTGGCTGCGTTGGATAGATGGTGGACGAGATGGCGGCTAACATCAAGTTAAAAAGTAAATTGATTTATTATAATTTCAGTATAAATTTGGTCAATGATACAAGCAATAATTCACCATTTAATTAGATATAGCTAAATTTAAATTTAAAAATCAGAGCAACGACGCGTCTGCCTATTTAAAAATTGACAAAAATTTCACATAATTCAAAACTCAGTTTTATATTTTTCTGTGTTATTTAAATGTTCGAATTTTCTTAAAAATTCCTTTATTGCTCCAATTCTATGAAACAATTTTAATTTTACAAATTGATATATAGTGATCCATCACTTTTGGATATGATAACTAATTTCTTTTAACGCTCTATATGATACAAAAACGCTCTAAAATTTGGTATTTTTCCATATCACTTCATTAATTTAAAAAGGGAGAAACGATTAAAAAAAAAGATAATTGATAAAATTATATTGTGATATTGTAATTTAATTTTAAAGTTTTTTAGCAAAAGAAAAATTGCAATTTCAAAATCTGTCGATTTTGCTGTCTTCTGTATTTATATTTTATAATAAAAATTTTTCCCTCACTTTTCTAATTCATTTAATTTTATATTTTTTTAACAAGCCTTAAAAATATTAATGTAGCAGGTTAACTGCCATTTTCAATAAGGATAGATAATTAAAAATTAGAATCTTACTTATTATTGCAGAAATAAAACATGCTTATCTTCTATAAAACTGTTTTTTTCTTTACGGTGGAAAACTTTCTAAGTGATTAAATTGTTTTAAAAGCGATCGATCAATGCCAAATTAAAATTTTTTGATTCGCTCAGAAGAATTAAAACGGCTCAACTGATGAGGAGCAAAGTGATTAATCTCACAGGGCAACCGGTCCAAGTCGGCTCATTATCTCTGCTACGAGTTCTTCGGCCGACTCTCGAAATTTGTTCTCTTTTTCACAAGTGTGCGCCGATTGCGATAAATAATGATTTGCGACACAAACGCCCACTTCGCTCCTTATTTTCTCATATATTAGGACACGGCACACGTCTGCTCTGACTGCACGCGGATGTACGAAAATCCATTGTTGCACCTTTCATGAGTCACAATGTAAAAAAACTACTCACGACTTTTGCATCCAATTCTGGGAGTGCGATGATCTCTCGTTCGCGGCCTCGGATTGAATTTATTTATGGCACTTATCAATAAAAGTGCTGCTTTCATCTCTGCACCAAGATGAAATTATTGACCGGCCAAAGGAGAAAGGCAACTTGAGCCGCCCCAATTAAAATTTTTGTTGCCAATTGTTGTAAAAATATTTGCTGCATACTTTTATTTAGGACGAATCATATTCTTCAGAAATCTATTCATAATCTTACGAAAATTACGTTTTCAGAAAACAGATCATTAGAGAACATAATTTTTATAACATATCAAAAAATAAGGGATTAAAAAGAAAATAAACATGATTGAATAAAAATTAATTGAGCATTATTGTAAACAAGTAAATTATTTTTATAAGAGGTTTTTATGTGGTTTTACTGAAACTGTGCGAGAAAAACTTGGCATAAAGAATGGAATTCATCCCAAAATTTATAATCTAATTTTGATTGACTTAAAAATTATATCTTTTTTAGTTGGTTTTTATAAAATCCATATTATAAAATGTTTCAATTTTAAATTCTCAATTTGTTGTTCCTTTGCTCGATCAAATTAATCAATGTTTTATCATCCATCGCCCTAGCAAAGATTTTCATTTCATTTTTTATTTTTTTGCAGGGATGGAGAGCTCCCTTCAAAGCCGTGATGTGGCCGGGGTGCACGATTTTGTTCTGCTCGAGAACTACGGCAACGAGGATGCGTTCATTGACAACTTGAAGAAAAGGTTCAACACAGACTTGATTTACGTAAGTGACTCATTGCAAACTTGCACAAAATTTCAGAGACTAATTGTGTTAATTTTTTCAGACGTACATCGGACCGGTGTTGGTTTCGGTGAACCCATACAAGAATATTCCCATCTACACGGATGATGTGATCAAGACTTATTGCAACATTCACTACTTTGAAGCCATTCCGCACATGTAAGTGGATCAATAATTTTTTTGTTTTCATTAAACATTGGTTAAAAGAAGCAAGAACTAAAAAAAGAAACAAAAAAATATACTAAAAATAGGCTAAAATTTCAAAAAGAGATAGTTTTGATTTATAAAAATGTACAGTTTCGGATTTGTAAAATTTTGATTAATTTTAAATTAGCTTTATCTGCAAATAGATAAATTTTCTTCAAAAAGGAAGTTTTTAATTGAAATTTTTATCAGATTCAATATTCATCAAAAATCGAAGGAAAAACAAAATTAATAAGACAAATTCTTTCTGAAATCTGTCAGAAAAATGTTAATTACTCTCAGAAACACTTTAACTTTCCACAATCAATTCAATTTTGAACCAAAAATATATTTTAGTCTTAAAAGTTACGAATTACGATATTTGAATCCATCTTAGGAAGGAATGTTTGCGAAACAGTGAGTCACTCTTTGCAAAATCTATTTCCCATGCTACACGGTGCGTCTCTCCAATGACTTCATAACATAACAAGCCGCCATCTGTTTCTGCTGCTAAAGAAAGCAAAGGCGCGCCAAATTATCCGCGAGTCGTAAATAATTGTGAACCCGGCGCGAGCAGCAAAATTTATGAATCACTCGGCCCGATGATGGCAAACATGTAAACACGGAACTTCTCGCATTTTCTATTTTTTGCAAAAATACAAATACAGGAAAAAAATCTCCTTTTACGTTCTGTCGAGAGATACTGAGACCTCGCCCTTCGGGGAGGACAAAGCCGATCAAATGAGCACCGTGTGGCCGTAAATAGGCGGAAGGTCACCTGTCGTGAGTCAGTAACCGTTTCTTGCTGAAGGCAGAGCATAAAAAAATACCAACGGCGTGGGTGGGTTTGGCTCGCATTTCGCTGCGATTGAAACGTGAGTCACGATTCGCAGCTCGCAGAGAACAACTGTTCGTCTTGTTTGACTAGGAATTATATTTATATGATCCAACTCGATCGGTCGCTTTGATAATTTTCTAGGCCTGTTGACACTCGAGTCAAAAGAACTGTTAGACTTTTCATTCTATATATAGAAGTTATTTCGTCTCGAGCAATTTACGCGGTAATTAAATTGTATTTTTCGAGTATTACACGCACTTGTGGCCACAATGGAGCGAAAATATCAAATTGTATATAAAATTAATTCATGTTGAAACGGTCGAGAGCGAGATTAAATTGTTTTTGTGTGTTTATTTTGCTCCTCGTCGTTCTGCTCCGGTGGTGGAAAATTCAAGACTTCCATTCTCTCTCGTTTGCATTTTTAACGGCCTTTGTTCCTTTTTCTGTTCGACAGATATGCAGTGACTGACACGGCCTACCGAGCGCTCAAGGAGGAGAACAGGGACCAGTGTATCCTCATTTCAGGTGCGCAATTTCAAGCTCATTGTTCGAACTGACAGACAAAAAAAAAACTGATAATTGTGCCCTTCTGTGTTTGCATTTTTAAACAAGATAGGGTAGATATTTGTTTGTTTACAAATTGCAAATTTTAAGTTTTGAAAAATATAACTTTTCTCAGGGTTTAGTAGTTCATGAAGACTTATTTAATAAAATTTATAAATATTTAATTCAAAAGGATTAGCAACCCACAAGAAGGCACTATGTAGTTATATTTATAGCTAATTTTTATTAAGAAAATTAATGGCAAGCATAATATAAAAAAAAGAAAAAAAATCAACTTTTTATAAATGATATATTTTGTTTTTTTTATTTATAAGAATATTTGATAATATGCAAAGTATTTACAGCGTAGAATATAAATTTAAAAATATTAAAAAATTAAAAATTAAAATATTAAGAAATAAAAATCAACAAAAGTAATAAACCAAAAAAATAATAGATAAAATTATAAACCTTGTTTATAAGTATTAAAGTCTCTATTTATGAACAAATTTATAAATTATAATTTTCTTTGTGCTCAATTATTTGGAAATTCTAACGAACAAAAATGTATATTCCCAGGTGAGTCGGGCGCAGGAAAAACTGAGGCGTCAAAGAAAATCCTGCAGTTTATCGCGGTGACCACAGGTCGCAAGCCACAGGTCGAATCGGTCAAGGAAAAACTGTTGCAGTCGACACCGTTGCTCGAAGCGTTCGGCAATGCCAAAACCGTGCGCAATGACAACTCAAGCCGCTTTGGAAAATACATGGACATCATTTTCAATTACTTGGTTTGTCGGAGTTAATATTTCCTTAGAAAAATTTTCAATTCTAATTAAAGGGTGACCCTGTTGGCGGAAGTCTGCTCAACTACCTGCTGGAAAAATCGCGGGTGGTCATGCAGGCGCCGGGCGAGCGCAATTTCCACATTTTCTACCAGCTGCTGTCAAGTGCCGACACACATTTGCTGGACAAATTGCACCTCTCGCCCAACACCTATTATCATTACCTCAACACCAGCATTGTGAGTTAATTTAAAATTTAATAATTTGTTATTGATAAAAAGTAAAACAATCATGTTCAAATTTAAGCGGAAAAACTTCAAAAATGAAAATTTTCGATTGATTGAAATTTGTCAAGTTCAAAGATTTATTTCTAATTTTGACCAAAATTTAATGTTGAAAATTAAGGTGGCCATTAAGGACAATGAGATTGACGACGTGGGTCAGTTCAGAGTGGTGAAGCGCGCCATGGACGTGATCGATTTGTCCAAAGAAGAGCAGGAAAACATTTTCACCCTGGTCGCCAGCATTTTGCACCTGGGAAATGTCGGTTTCACGGAAACCGACAAAGGAACCGCCAGCGTCAACTCGCCAGAAACAATTTCCACCATCGCCAAGGTAAGAATTATTTTATTAATTTTTTTTTTATTTAATTAAATTTGTGTGTGCAGTTGTTGGGGTGCGACGCGGACGCCCTGACGCACGCCCTGCAGCAGAAGACCATCGAAGCCAAGGGCGAAACCGTGACCACCCCTTTGAACAGGGAATTCGCCGTGTTCGCCAGGGACGCCCTGGCCAAGGCAATCTACGATCGCATGTTCACCTGGTTGGTGCGCAGACTGAACGACTCGCTAACACCAACTGAAGAGGTCACCAAGACCAAGGTCATGGGAATCCTGGACATTTACGGATTTGAGATTTTCGGCAAGAATTGGTAACAAAAATTTTCCTTGAATTTTTGGCAGACGGATGAATTTTTTAATCTAGTTTCGAGCAATTCTGCATCAATTACTGCAACGAGAAGCTGCAGCAGTTGTTCATTGAGTTGACCCTCAAGTCTGAGCAGGAGGAGTACTTCCGAGAGGGCATCGAGTGGGTGCCGGTGCAGTATTTTGACAACAAGGTCATCTGCAACCTCATTGAAGAGCGCCACAAAGGTTCGTATTTTTTTTTATTATTACTATTTGAAAAAATTTTGAATAAAAAAAATTATAAAATTAATTCAGGGATAATTTCGTACTTGGACGAGGAGTGCCTTCGCCCTGGTGACACCAGTGACCTTGGTTTCCTGAACAAAATGAACATCCATCTTGCTAATCACAAGCACTACATCAGCTACAGCAAGACTGAAAAGAAGTTGTTGCTACAGACTGCCCGAGATGTGAGTTTAAAATTTTTGATTTAAGAAATTTCCTTCTACTAAATGGAACACATTTTAATTTTTGAAAGGAATTCCAACTGGTGCACTATGCTGGCAAAGTGACCTACAGCGTTCACGGGTTTGTTGAAAAGAACAACGACCTGCTGTTCCGCAACCTGATCGAGGTCATGGCTAAAACGGACAACGCTATCACCAAGTCCGTCTTCACCCTGAAGGAATTGGAGAGCAAGAAGAGGCCCGAGACGGCAGCCTCACAGTTCAAGAAGAGTTTGGCCAACCTGATGCAGATTTTGATCAGCAAAGACCCGTCCTACGTGCGCTGCATCAAACCCAACAATGAGCAAACTTGTGGTGAGTTCTTTTCAAAAGAAAAAATTAAAAAAAAAAAACATTAACTATTTATTTCAGGCATTTTTGACGAGGAATTGGTTCGGCACCAAGTGAAGTACCTTGGCCTGATGGAAAACCTGCGAGTGCGAAGAGCAGGGTTTGCCTACAGAAGGTCGTACGAGTTGTTCCTCAAAAGGTACAAGTGCCTGTGCCCTAGCACGTGGCCTACCTACAACGGCTCGGCCAGGGACGGAGTTGCTCTGCTCGTCCAACACTTACGGTTCGAGAAGTACGAGTTCAGCATGGGAAAGTGAGTAAAACAAGTGATTTTATGGAATTCAAAAGAGAAAATTTTGAAGAATGTGAGAGTATTTGATTTTTTTTTTTTTTAATTTCAATTTGTTATTATTATTTTAGGTTAAATTAATTAATTAATTTTTGCAGGACCAAGATATTCATCCGCTACCCCAAAACCCTCTTCCTAACGGAGGATGCGTTCCAAATGAAGAAGAATGACATCGCCAAGCTAATCCAGAGAAAGTATAGGGTGTACATCGCTAGAAAGCGTTTCCTGAAAATGCGGTGGGCCGCCATTGTGATGCAGAAAAATATCAGACGGTTTTTGGCCAAACGAGAGGTCAGAAGAAGATTGGTGGCTGTCGAGGTTCTCAGAAGGTGAATAAATTTAACTTTTGTTGGAAAGTTTTCTTAATTGGAATATTCAGACTGCTGAAGGGCTTCATCACAAGGGCTGGGGAGCCAACTGATGACAACATTGCCTTCATCCAGCTGTCAAAGATCAACTACCTGAACCGATTGGCCAAGAATCTGCCAACCTCGCTGATAGACAGAAGGTGGCTTCCCTGTCCGAGTCCTTGCCGAGAAGTATTTAATTTATATTTAAAGTCAATTATATAATTAACTATCAAAATTTTAGGCCTCCCTTGTCCTGCACAGACTTTACAGAGGGCAGCAAGCTAGGAAGTACCGCCAAGCACTATCCCCAGAGAAGAAGCGGCAATATGAGCTCAAAGTCTTGGCCGAACGCCTCTTCCAAAGTATATTTCCATTTATTTATCTTTCAAAATTTATTGAAATTAAAAAAACTGGAGATTGAATATAACTTAAAATATTTAGAAAAGCCTCTTAGTAAATTTAATTTTGGTAATAAACGGTAATGAAACATTTTTACTTTTTGAGATCCAGGCGGCCTATTTTGAAAATAATTAAATTTTAATATTATTATTTCAATTTTCACTCTATTTGATTTTTAAACCAATTTTTATCAATTTAGGAAAGAAAAAGAGTTACCCGAGCTCATTCCCAGTGCCCTTCACCGAAGCCAGAATTTCCAATGAGCTAAAACAGCACAAAACTCAATACGAGACAAACCAACTTGTTCCCGGAGAAAAGCTTTTGGTAAAATGAATTTATTTCTGAAGTACCAATATTTTAACCAATCATTTTTGTTTTTCAGTACTGCACCGCAATCACAAAATACGACCGACACGGCTATTCGCCCAGGGATCGAGTCCTCCTCCTGACAAACAAGGCCATCCACATTGTGGACACAAGAGGCTTCAAGGTCAAGCACAAACTGTCTCTGGACAGCATCATCGAGCTTGTGGTCACGTCCGAGTCGGACGGACTCTTGATTGTCAGAATCCCGCTCGACCTCAAGAAAGACAAGGTTTGCCCAAAATATTAATATTGGAATAGAAATCACTTTTATTATTTCTATAGGGAGACCTGATTCTGAAATGTGAAAATGTGATCGAGTGCGTCACTTTCATCATCGATACCACCAAGAAGGCAAATGCCCTGAAGATTACAAACACACCTACGTAAGAAATATTTTATTTGAAAATTATTTGAAGTTTTTAATTTTATATGCTTTATAGAATTTCCCATCACATGATTGGAGGCAAGGAAGGCCAGATTGAAGTCACCACAGGACCAGAATTGAGCTTCGGAAAAAACAAAATGGGCCAATTAGTGGTAAGTTTCTCGAATAGGGAAATGCAACTTTTAAATCCTATTCATTTTTTAATTTTCAAGGTAACCGTGAACTAGTCAGAAGATAAATTATCAAGCAACGCCATATTTAAAGGAGCCATATTGAAGATCAAGAATTTTTCTGTCACAAATTTGTTAAAATTTTTATCGTGATTTATATATTTTCACTAATAAAATATTGATAGTTTTAAATCAAATCTCGAGAGAAATTTTCAATAAAAAGAACCTTACTTTATTTACGACTTTTTCATCTTCTTCCTCGGCGACTCGTCATCTTGATCCATGGGCATGTCCTTGTTTGGTTCCTCCGTGGGCGCAGGTCGCTTCTTCTTGCCCAAGTTCACTTTGCCGTCCAACGCCTTTTGCCTGATTTCGTCTTCAGTAGATTTGTTGATGTTCTTGATCGTCTGGTTCTTCAACTTTTGCAAAGCTGACACTTTTGGCTTCTGTGGTTTGTCTGAAAGTAAAAATAGATAATTACAAAAATAATAACGCAGATTTTAATAATTTCTTTACTGGATCTTGTGGTGACTGCAGGGCCTTTCTGTTGCGCCTTCTTCTTGGCAAAACTTGCTGGGAGTTTCGCCTTGACCTTCATTTTTCCTTGTGGCATTTTCTGTGACACAAAAAAATATTATATATTAACTTTTAAAAAGCAACCTACAAAATATTATTACAAAACAATAATGCACAAAACTATGTACTGATTCATGCACATTGAGCTTAAAAACTTTAGCAACGTCTAGAAATTTGTTTTAAAATTGGATTTAAACTTGGATATCAGCAGAAAGTCAAACAAAAGCCTTTTTTACAAAATTAATGGGATTATTATAAAAAAAAACCTTCTATGTTGTCGGATTTGCATGTAAAAAGGAGCCTTATTGAAAACTGTTGAAAACAATTAATATTCATCGTTGAAATAAATTAAACCTGATTCAGTGTTTACCAAAAATATTGCAATCAACTACAAGCTTCAAAATTTATATCCAAAATCTTCAAGATTATCAAGAAACTGCACTGCCAGCTGCAATTTTGTAAACAAGTCAGCGTGCTTGCTTTTGCGAATTTGATTGGTCGAAAGAAAAGCAGGCCAAAATATTTGGCGCGCTTTTTAAATTCATCCAAATTTAGCAAAAGTCCCAAATATTAAAACTAAAATTCCACCAATTATTACTAGAATAAGTTGAGAATAAAAAATATTGAGTTTATTAGCCTTTAATTGATTGCAAAAGGTGAAAAATATCTTTCTTTGTGGCCCTAATTTTCTGTAATTCGAAACCGGCAAGGTCGAGAATCGCGCAGCACAAAAGTTGGCGGCGCGTGTGCCCTTGCGGGAAAAAGGACGGGTGGCGCCGCCGCGGTTCGCGGTGGCGAGTCGGCGTAGCTGCGGTAAGGTGTTAAGGTGCGGCCATGTTTACCCGACCGTGTAGTATTTGTTGAAAAATCTCTGCCTTTTTGATAACTAAACAGGATGCCCAAATGTAAAGCGAAGACGAGATTCATACCGGCCACGTTCGCCTGGACAATTCTGCTCGGCACGACCACCCTCTTCTTCGTGTACCCGTAAGTTGGCTCGGCTCGGACGCCCCCTTTCTCTCCACAGCCACCGCCGCGGCTCCGCTCGAACCAGAATTTCACAACCTTCCCCAGAGTCCCGTCGAGAATTTAAATTCCTCGTCGGCCGAAATTCGGGCGGATCGTTTGAAAATCTCGCCGACCCGCGGCGGCCTGGAATTGTGGAGAATTCGTCCTTGTTTTTTTGCACATTCCGCAGCTCTCGCTGCCCAGAGCTCTCTAATCGCATTACACACTAAAGCCAATGAATGTGACACGGAATGTGTTTTTGCAGGAGCCACTTTTACATCAAGACGTACCCATGGGTGCTGTTAGTGCAGGGGCTCATCACCCTGTTCGTGCTTGCCAACTTCACCCTGGCCACCTTCATGGACCCCGGCGTTATCCCCAAAGGTATGAAATTTATACTCAAGGAAATTTCCTTTTATGGAGCGATTATAAATTAGCATTTTTATATGTATTCTTTATTCGGATTTAATGGGTGAAAAATTCTTGCAGCAAACGCAGACGAAGACCGAGAAGACGACTTCCGTGCACCGCTTTACAAGAACGTGGAGATCCATGGCATAACGGTGCGCATGAAGTGGTGCGTCACCTGCCAGTTTTACCGCCCGCCGCGGTGCTCGCACTGCAGCGTCTGCAATAACTGCATCGAGGTGACCACAAGCCTGTCCTAAATTTGCTCGCACAAAAATTTCTAAAGGCTATTTAAGCTCACAATCAGAACCAAAATGCTTAAGGCTCTCAACTTTCTACTCTCAAAAAAGATCTAACTTTTAAATTATTCCAAAGGTTATTTCACAACGAATGAAAACCAATGAGAACTAATTTAAAACACAAAAAATATGAAATTGAATTAATGTTTCAATGTCAATTAATTGAAAGTCTTTTTGCTCTTCCTTTTAATTTTTATTTGTGCAACATCTAATTTCCGGATTTTTTCTAGACCTTCGACCATCACTGTCCATGGGTGAACAACTGCATCGGTCGGCGAAATTACCGCTACTTCTTCATGTTTCTCATCTCGCTCAGCATCCACATGATGAGCATCTTCGCTCTGTGTCTCATTGTTGTGCTTCACTCCAAGGACAAGCTGGCCGAGCTCAATACAATAATCTGGTAAGTGCCCAGCATCAAAAGACCTGTCACTTTCAATTGGTAATTTCAGATGGTCTAATTTAACTGCTTATTGATTCTTTTTTTTATATTCTAATCAATAAGTTTGATATTGACATTTAGACTTTGACTCTATTTTTGACTTGAGAGGGAAATGATAACGCATTTTTCCTTGTTTATAATTTATTTAAATCCGCTTTCCTCACTACTGCATTTAAGTAATATTTTATTCAAGGAGAATGTTTATCGCGGTTCTCCAGTTCTATAAAAAATAAGGATATAAAAAAGAGGACAAAATAACTTGTTATTTTTGCACATTAAGGTATTTTAAAAAGATTTTATTTTGATCAAGTTATTTGTCTTTTTACTGTTGAAAAAAAAACAATTAAATTTCCTTTTTCTTTTTCGTAAACTAAATAAGTTTTCCCCTTTCTCAGTTTTTTTACAATTTTTATTTTGTATATAATTTTCTAAGATAAATGCTCAATTTTATTATATTTTTTCCCTTTTTGTTTCAGCATGGTTATCATGGGTATCATTGCGCTCCTTTTCATCCCCATCTTCGGTCTCACTGGCTTTCACATAGTGCTCGTCTCAAGAGGCCGGACGACGAACGAACAAGTCACTGGCAAATTCAAAGGTGGTTTTAATCCATTTTCGCGCGGATGTTGCCAAAATTGCTGCTACGCTCTGTGCGGTCCACAATTCCCAAGGTCTGTGTCGAAGCGCAATTTAAATATTTGCATTTTTAACTTGATTAAAATTTTCACAGCTTGCTGAAGCCTAGTAAGTTTGTCGGCAAGAAACCCAAGCACTACAACTTCCCGGTCAACCCGCCCGCTATCTCGACCATCACGAGCGAAAACCAGGTAAAAACCTACATGGACAGCAGCAATGGCACTAGAAATCCCAATGCTAGAATATACAGCAAGGTGAGTGTAAAGTAGTTCCCTCTCCTCGTAGATGCTTTTTCTGTCTCGTTTTCTTGATTTATTCAACTTCAATCCTCTTCAGCTCTCTCCGGGCCGGGAAGGTTCGGACATCGACATGGAGCCAACGGCGTCCCAGAGTCAGGACTGCGAGCCGACGCCGCCACCTCTGCAGCGGCACGGCTCCAAAAACAACTTCTACCTGCCGCCAGGGGCAGAGGTGGACATGCGATCGTACAACGACTCGCCCAGGCCAGGGCATGTCCAGCAGATGAAGACGCAGTACGGCCGGGCGTCTCCTTACCCAAGACCAAGGTATTTTTACTATTTTAACCAAAAATGGAATTGAAACAAGGAAATTATAAATTACTAATCTTCTAAATTTGAAAAGAATTTAAATTTCATAGTATTTTGCCTCTAAAACTAATTCTAGATTTAGGTATGTCCTTTTCATTTTTTTGTTTTCATTTATACAATCATTTTTCCACTACACATTTTTTTTACTTTTAAATTTCTGTAAAAGTTAAGTTAAAAAATTAATGAAGCAATTACAACAAGTGTAATAAATCTGGAAATATTTTTTCCTGTTCTGTTGAAACATCTGATTTTTGTTATCTTGCTCTGTGAGAGAAAATATTGTGTATCACATTTGTTGCCATAACATAGTCTGTGCTGCAATAGTTCTAAAACTGTTCACGCTTGTTCTCGATTTTAAAAATCACTAAATCAATTTCAAGAAGCAAGTAGTGCTCATTGTCATCTGCGATAGTATTTATCAACTTGCACTTTGAGAAGATCGGAATATCTTCTCCGCCATACATCAGTATCAAATATTGACTTTGACTTACATTCCAGCATGTCCAGAAGTCACACTCCGGACCCATTGTCCCCTGAGAGTCAACAGCCCATTGGCCGAAGTCCAGGTCTGCCGCCGAGCCCGACGATGCAGCAGCGCATCAAGGCCATTGGCGTGCCCACCCCGCTGGCCATGTCGAGTCCAATCAGGAGGTCAGTACCGACCAAAGCCACTTTCACAAACTCTTTCTTTCTCCCTTTCAGCTTCTTTCTACGACCGTTCAATAACGGACTGGTCAAAAACTCTTTTGACCTGAACAAATTTATTTCAGCCACGAGGAGGACGAACCCTTGTTGTCTCGTGCGATTAAGGTGCAGCCCTGTTAAGCCAAAAAGAAAAAGAAAGACTGATTGACTCTAGTTGTTAATTATTTTTATATAAATTTGTAACTCGGACTGTCAGGACTGTGCTGTAGTTTTGCAAAAAGCGCCGCTTCTCTTTTGACCGCGTTGGTTGGTGCTAATTTTCAGAAACCAGATCTTAAGAGAGGCCCGAGAAAGACTCGAGTCGCCAATGTCACCCGTGCCTCCGGGTCGACTCGTCATACACAGGTCTTCTTTACCGCCCCTGTCGCCGTTGCCCCCAGGGCGACTCGTCATGCACAGGTCCTCTTTACCACACCACTCAATGAGAAAGGGCTATCGAAGTTTTAAGGTACCCGAGAGATGCGTTGGCCGCTAGCAAAAAAAAAAACCAAGCGTCTCCCGAGTCACATTGCGCATTGTGTACAAAAGCTAAACCCCGTCATTTGTTTCAAGTTGAAATCCAATCATTTCTTTTCCCGAAGTGGCGACGACGCTGATAGTAATTGTGGTTCATTTCATCTTGCAGATAGACACACTCAAACCTCATCATCCGCATCCCGATTTTAAATAATACAAAGCCCCATAAATACTAAATTATTCGGACATCCATTCATTAAAAGTGCGTTTCAAAAAAGGTACATTTGAATAATTAAATCATTTTTTTTTTACTCGAGTACGATTCATTTGTGGTCTGGAAACGTAGAGTTTGGCTACATTGGATTAACTTTTATTTGTTACAACCGCTTTATTGTTGGTTGGTTTCTTCTTTTATACGGCTGCACATGATGATTTATTTTTTGATTTGTATTCATTAATATATACTTTCATTTAATAATTTTTGGTCGTGAGCGACGTTCGTTGACCGACAAGTGCATCTTTGCATGCTCTAGACCTGATTGAGAGAAGACTGGGCTTAACGGACTCGCCTCCGATCCGTACCTGAACCGTTTCGTTTCCATACACACTCACACAAGTTACAACATCTTTTTTGAAAAATACTTTGTGTTTGGATGTCGAGATTGATTCTCAGTGCTCTGTGTTGTCGGAAGCGTCGTGCGGGTGGCTGGCGACCGGCTCGATTCGTGAATCCGGCCGGTCGCCCACCGCACCGCGCGCGAGTCCGTTGATTTTGTTGAGCTTTAGCAGAAAAATAGGAGCTTGCATGAAACTGGCCACTCATAGATTAGCTTTGTTTCGTTGTTTCAAGTGAGTTCCTATTTCATTGTGATTTTGCTGCGTACCAAGTGTTGCTCTCCCCCTTTTGTAAACAAAATTAAAATTGAATTATTGCTAAATCACACGAGTACACAAATTTGAATAGACTGCTTAATCTTACAGTTGTGCTTTTCGCCTAATTTAGAACCAAAAGATTTCTAGGTGGAAAGGTTTGATTTCAAAAAAAAAAAATTGAAAGATTTAAACTTTAAATTAATTTGTAAACAGAACCCAGATATATTAACTAAGTATCGATTTAATTGTAAAATTTTAAATGCAATTTCATAAATGCCAAATAAAGAAATAAAATTAATCTCACCTTTCCTCTTTCAATAATTTTTATTTTTAAATAATTGTAATTTTTTATATAATATAAGTAAAGGACGCTATTCAGATTTGGCTCCTAATCCCACTGGTATGCAAGTTGTGCCCGCTTTTGTCCCGATTGTTTTTGTGATCGCCTTTGACTAATGGTGGTGGTGCCTCGGGCGCTTTCTGTGTCGTGTTGTAGGTCCAACCCCGGAACTCCTACCCAGCCACGACGACCAGACTTTATCGGGGTGGGGTGCGAGACAGTGCTCGGTAACCAGCACCCGTACCTGCAGCAGCAGCAGCCGCCGCCGCCGCCCCAGTACTACGAAATGCAGCCGCGGGTGCACCACCGGCCGCCGGTGATGGCCGCCGTCGCGGCCAACGGCACCGCCGGCAACATGAGTCCGCAGCGCCGCTTCCTGTCCGAGGGCGAGTTGGTGCGGCAGACGGGCGAGATGACCTTGTACACCCGCGCCGGCGCCACCGCCGACAACATCCGCGAGCTGGCCGGCTCGCCCCAGCGCGGCGTCTACACCTGGAAGGACACGTCCCCAGGGCCCTACCCTTCGGAGAGCCCCACGGGCTACGAGTACGTGGGCCACCGGCCACCGCCCGCCCATCGAGACTTCCACCGCTCCACCCCCGCCAGCCCCACGCAGACCTTCTCCGCCCCCAGGCCCACCTACTACCACCAGCTGCCTGGGGCCGCCCAGGCGGCCGCTGCGGCCGCGGCCGCCGCAGCCCAGGCGCGCCTCCAGCAGCAGCAGCATCAGCCGCCGACGTCGCCGCAGCTGAAGAGGAAGGCCGAGCAGCTGCAGCACTGCAGACCCAGTCCGGGCTCGCGAAGGCCCATGTCCTTCGTGCGCGCCCTCGAGATGTCCGACTCGATGGAGATGAGCGCGCGCAGCCCCCAGACGACCGCCTCCAACCCCTCGCCGCAGGACACGCCGGACAGGGGCAGTGTCTACGACATGAGCTACGAGATTTCCGTCTGAGGCGCCGCCGACGGACGCAAGTGGCTCCGGCAAGGGGCGCCGCCGCACCCGACGATCAGACTCCACGAGCAGTCTGCAAAACCCCTCCTTTCTTCTGACGACGATTATTGAGTTGTTTCCCCGAAACTGCGGTTTTTGTTTTTAATTTGTTACTTGTTATCATTGGATTGTTTTGAATGGAAGCTGAAATTTTTGTGGACCTCCGAAGTGTTAGAAAAAAAATCATTTTTTTCAATTGGCAGCTCTACAATAGATTTTTTTTTTACTCTGTTGACCAAATTCTGTTTGCATTTGAAAACTTTGGCTTCTAAAAACCGATGGAAAACAGAATTGTTTCCTTAAAAAGCAATTTAATTAAAAAGTGATAAAAGTTTTCATTTTCTTGAGAGGTCCTCTTTTAGTCTTTGATTGTCTTTATTTTTATTTTTCAGTTCACTGTTCCAATTTGGAGCGTTTTTTTTATAATAATTTGGTTTGTGAAAATTTTAACCCCTGTGCCATGCAATGCGGATGCGCCCCTTGGTCGAGCCAGTGCGCCCAGGCGTCTCGGAGAAATGTGGAACTTGCTGCTGCTGTGATTGGCTGCTTGTTGTTATACACTTGGCTCTAGTCTTTCTTCCAACGTTGTAACAAATCGAACCCTTCCCTACCCTCGACGGACGGTGACAAAAAACCTCAATCAAACGAATTAACAAACATGTAACTCGTGTAATTAAGAAGAAGAAGAAGAAGTGCCAACGACCTTTGGATAAAATAAAAAATTATCAGAGTGCCCCGCCGTGAACTTTCAGAGCCAATTTTCAATTAATTAACATATGTACAAGTGTGTTCGCTTCAGTTGAATCGATTTGTGTCCGATGTTGTCACGCACGCACGCTTCTTGTGAACCACGTTTGTGTCTCTCATCAGCCATTATTATATAAATATATCTCTAATTAAATAATTTTTGTGTTTCTCGTTGATTCACTCACTCGTGTCTGTGTACTTAACGCATCATCGCTATATCAAATGTTATGATTTTCTCGAATCAAACCGCGAGTTGAGTGTAGAAAAATTTCATGTACTTTTTCGCTGCCCCCGATGATGGTCGATAATAATGGATGTTTCCTCTCTGAGATATTTTTTAAATCCTGAGATGTTCAAATACACGACTCACACACTCACGCCAATCTGGAAACGACGAGGGTGATTATTATTCGCTCTTTTCCAGATTCGCGGCCGCCACTTTTTTCCATCCACGCTACTTACAGACTTTGTCTTGTTGATTCGTGAACAGAAATTAATGCGAAAGAAGTGAATATATAAATTCTCACGCGCTATTTAAAGAACGATTGATTTGTTGATTATTTTTAATTCGTTAGTTAATTGTTGCCACTCCTCACTTGCCGACTCAATGCATATATTTTTTAAGATTATAATTACGTAGTTAACATAATAATTATTCATTCAATGCGTCTCATAAACATTACAAAACGTGCGTTCGTAACTTCTAAACACATTTTAACATTCTTTGGTCTGGGAAGCGGTTTCTCTCTCTGTCAATGCGTCATCTAGTCTTTCTCGCATCTAAAAACAAACATGCAAAAACACTTTTGTTTTCCTCCTAAAATAATTCAGAATTTCTTTCCGAGCAGCCGCGCGTTTTTTCGTTTAGTAATTTTTAAGGAACCATAATTTCTTTCAATAACGAGACCAAGAAGTCGGTTTGCAATAAAACCCAGTTAGTGTTACAGAAAAAAAAAACAATCCTGTCAGGTTTGGGGAAACAAATAATAGATGACGTTGCATTTTGTGTTTCGATTTTTAACAGTAAAGAAGTCTTCGAAGATGCTAAAATGGTTGTGATGCTTGGAATATATTTTGTGTCTCTCGGAACGATTTTCGTGCTAAAATTTATTGTATGGATTAACATTTTGCTGCTCTATATATTCTCTCGTTGAAAACAACCTTTTCAAAAAGGAAACGCTCGAGACCACTGCTGATACAAAGAAGAAAAAAAATACTGTTGTCTCCTTAAATGTGCGACGAAAATAAAACTGCAGGCATTCTAAATTTGTCACTGAATGTACCAAAATAATGTATATTGGTCGCATTTTTCATCCAGACGCCCGAGAATATTTATTTTTTGTTAGAGTTGTAGTGAACCCAGTGGAAGAGACGAATAAAAATGTATAAATAAAAGATGAGCGAACGGGAGAACACGAGTGTTAAAAGTGAATATTAAGGAAGAGCAAAACGTCAGTGTTATAAATCGCAGGAACACAATTCATTGAGGAGGATAATGTTTTTTTAAATAAAAGTAACAAAATGAAAATACAAATTGTGCAGCTTTTTATTGAGTCTTGCAAGTCCCAAAACTTTTAAGAAATATACACAAAATTTATTTTTTTTTATTGCGTTCGCCACATAATGAAACGGGAAGATTTTTATCTTACCTTCGAGCATGATAAAAAATATAATTTATTTTTAATCAGGCATAATTCTGAAAGACAATAATTAGCAAAAGCCCTTGATTGTTTAGATCATTATCGATTTGTAATTAAAAAAATTTACAACATATTTTGTACAAATATAAATTTTTATTTTTTTCTGGCATCAACAGCTTTTTATTAAAAGGAAATTTAAAGATTTTGTCTAGATGAAAATTTGAATAATCAAAAGTTTTAAAAAACCTGATTATTATTTATTACATATTTTTCACAAAAAGCTTTAAATATAAAGAAAAATATTAATTTTACGAGTGGATTAAATGCAGGTAAAGAATTAAAAACGTATATTTTGGATTAAGCATACATTCTGACCAGTTCATTCCACTCTCGATTGTAGCGACTCTGAAGCCAATAAATTCCAGTTTCAACGGCATTCTTGATCTGTGGCTCGCAAGTTGCGCACCTCGTGGTGATCAAGGATTTAGCCATTGCTGCCCAATTTAAGATGGAAAAAATTAGTACCATTAATTGTAAATTTTAAATCCAATCGTACATTTTACTACATTTCCTATGCCGTCGCACTCGCCTCTGTTGAGCATGCAGTTGAGCAGTCGATTCATGAAAGCCGAGTCTTGCAGGTACGGCTTTATGTCCTTGATTGATGACGCAAATGATAAGTACTTTTATCGTGCATTTATAATATTTACCAGCTGCTGGCCGCTGCTCTCCTTGCAGATCAAAACGAGCAAAAACCCCGTCAGGACAAACGCGCGAAATTTCTGCAATTTTTGCTTAATTAGCACGTGCCACACATTTTTTAGTGTCCGTACCATCTTTCGGGAAAAGATTGTGCAAGAGGTCGAGATAAGGTGAATAAAAGAATGAGCCGCCGACGAGACGAACAAAGCTCAGGACAAAGAAGCTCAAGAACGTCTCGTGCGGTTTCAGGCGACACGCGCGCTTGACAAAAAAAATCCCGGATGAGAAATCTCTTCTCGCCCATACCACATCCACTTTTGTACAAACAAGGTGAATTTTTTAGATCAGTGGTAAAAAAAAAGAGAAAATTATGCAGTTTTAAAGTGGATTTTAAAAAAAAATTATTTAAAAATCTATCTTTTTGCAACATAAATATATGATTAATAAGCTATTAACGGAAATCTTATTTGTTAGCTAAAACATTTCGCAATTTTTGGAGCAGTGAAAAGTCTTTATATATGTTTCGAAAATTACAAAATTTATTCTAGTATGAATATTTGCGAATCATGCATACCGTTCTGATTTAATTGTATGATGATTCAAAATCGAATACATAATGAGGATTATTTATTTCTTACTTTTTTGCTATTTTTTATAATTGTGGGAGACCCTTGAATAGAATAATAGTTAATTGTGTCTAATTCTATTTTATTATAAAAAAAAAATATGTTACCTGATATGTAAATAAGTTAATTATTATTTTTTTATATGAAAAAAAAATGTTTTAATTATTTTAATAGCTCATGATTTAGAAATGACTATGTACAAAATTTATATTTTTTTTATTTTATCGTTTGACTGAAATATTTCTGTTAAAAAATGAGACCATAAATTTCAATTAAAAAAAAATTAAATGTTAATTCCAAATTTAAAATAAATTAATTTCCCTTTCACAATTCAAATGTTTAAATTAAAATTAATTCAAATCAAAAAGTAAAATAAAATAAAATAATTAGTTTAATTATTTTATTCAAATTAATTAATGTAAATCAAACTCAATTAAAATCAAACAAAACTAGACAAATAAATTATTTATTAAAATTGATTTTAAAACAATTTAATAACATTTCCACTTTTGCCAAGTAAATAGTATTGAAAATAATATGAATAAATTTATAAAAAAAATATGCTCTTCACTTTAATTAAACTTTTTGAACTAAATATTCAATTCCCAAAATCATCAATTTTTCTATTTTTCTCCTTCAGTGCGATTCTGAATATTTAAGCACTTTATTTTAGCAACGGCAGGTGGAAATAAAAAAGACGTGGGTGTTGGAGAAGGAGCACACCTTGCGCATTGAGGGCAGTCTCTGGAGTATTATTAATGCGAGAGCAGAGTGGGACGAATTTAGACCACAAGCGTTTAGGCAACAGGCGCGCATTATGCAGATTGAAAGGGTTGCACGTGAGTATAACGAGGGAGAGCTTTATCGAGCCGCTCTGTATATATTTCACGCGTGGCAGACAAGGAATGACAGGGTGGTGCGCGCCCTCGACTCGAGAGATTTTCGCCAGCTGAAAACACAGCCGAGCAAAAGGCGCCCACGCTGCGTTGCCAGGACGACCCTTGGTCCAACACTCTCGAGCCGTCCTTTCGTTTACTTTGACGTCAATGAGTGGGCAGTACATTCAGTTTTCTCGATCCGCTCCTCGCACCGCTCGAGATTAAATTCGGCCAGTCCTGGCAGCTGGAGAAAAAATAATGTTAAAAAAATACATAAATAAATCCGCTCGGGCCAGCAAATCTCTGGGCGCCCGTAATTGCAGTGTGCGCCGTTTTTCCACCGCCTAAAAGCTATTTTTGTCAATGGGAAAAGGTCAATTTCATTAAACAAGAGAGCTCCGCTTTCCGGGCTTACAGCCGAGACCGGAAATTTGATCACCACCGCTCATCCACCCAAGAGAATTGTTGTTTTTGTTTATAATTGAGATAATTCCTGGTGACAAAGTCTTTGAAAAATTATTGGTGGAAATAGAAGAGCAAAATCATTTTTAGAATTAAAAGTAGGACATAAGTTTATTTATAATTTTACTCAGATTGAACTGGTGTTTGAATTCAGAAAATTTATCTGGCCACTAATTAATATTTACTATTGTAAAAATGACCGGGAATTTTGTTCCTAAATTCTTTTTCAAAATTACAAAGTTTATCAAAACATGAACAACAGAAAATTTTTTTGATACGGTTATAATTTTGTTTGGTATTTTATTATTTCACAGAAAAAAATCAACCCTGAACATTCTGTTGCATATTTTTTTAATAAAAAAATTAACATTCATTATAGATGTTTGATTGACAGCCTGTCAGTACTTTTGCCAAGTTACAAATTGCACACAGCAATACGTAATCCCCTAATTCCCTCTGCGGGTTTTAGTTCCCTGTAAAAACTTCTCTCCGAGCAAAGCGGCTTAAATTCGTGTTGATTAATGGATGTTGCAAATCTCTGCAGTATACGAGCAAAATGGATAGTATGTGTTCCGCATCTTCTATCCAATCAGCCTAGCTCGTCAGTTCATGCGGGCATCGAATTAAAAAAGGGCTGAATTTGCTATAAATAGTAATTTACTTTTTTTCTTTCTTCTGACTCCTTTTTGATTGTATAATTAACTCCAGGTAGGTGTAAGATTGGACTTACTATTAGACCTTACAATATGGTTTAAAATTAACCAAAGATATTATGTTGAGAGCAATCCAAAATCCTCACTTGGCCAAAGCTAATTTGCCCCGCCAAAAGCTATTTGAATTCTGGAATAATTTGTCTGAGCCGACTGATGTTTATGTATCGCCCTTGTTATTTATAAAACGTTAAATATTAAAAAAACAAAATAGCAAATTGAATGTGACTAAATAATAATATATTCATTTTAAATTGAAAACAAAAACCAACAAAATCAAAATTAAATTAAAAAATTAATAAAAAAAAATTTTGTTTAAAAATAAATTATATTTGTGCAATTTTAATTTTTATAATTTTATTTTATTTATAGTAATTAAATAGTTTTATTAAAGATTTATTAAATTTAACATTAAAAATTATATTTTTTTTATCTATAATATTTTTTTATTTATAAAAACAGAAACAGAATAGAGATAATAAAATAAAATATCAAAATTTAATTCTTCGGAACACTTTGTCCATTATATTTAGTTAATCGTTTAATCAAATATGCTGCCATTTATATACTTTAAATTTTTTCAAAAATGTTTTAAATAATTATTTTAATATAACTTATTGATTGTATTAGAAATGACTAATACTTTAAGTAAGAGTTTTGTGTAAAAATAATAAAACTTATTCTCTGTCTCATGAAGACTGAGGAAAGTAAAATAGAAAATTTCGTTGCAATTGTAATTTTTTATTAGTCTATAATTATGTACTATTTTTCTGAGGAATAAATGCATATTTAATCAAAATTAGTTAAATCTATAAAATATTAATTCGAAAATGAGCAACTTTATAAAATTTTTATCTTTATTCATAAAAACAACATCTATAAATATAATGCCTCTTCCTTCAGTATATTTCACCTTCGACTAGCCTATTTGTGCACCACTTGACTCTGCATATATACGAACATGACACTTTTTTCCATCCATCCACTCTGTGAAACTGAGCTCTCGCTCGTCGTCATTTTCCGGGCATCACTTATTCAAAGCTCTCGAGACGACAGGCCGGACGACGGCTACATTTAGACCCTCGCCCTGCGAAAAAGACCTTTCGTTTTTCTTCTCCATAAATGCGAGCGCGGAGAATGAGAGAGAGATGCTGTGGCAGCGGCGGCGGCGGGTGGAAAAGACGTGGATCAATAGGTGGAGGGCGCGCGTGCGTCCGCGGGCCGATTGAAGGGCTCGTCGTCGTCGCCACGCATTTTCGGGAATCGGGCCGCGGCATTTCGGTGGCAGACTCTTCCACTCTCTCTCGAGACAAGCGTGTCAATTACACATACCAGAGTGCGGCACCTTCAGAGGGGCAGCACATGAACTTCGACCGACGCCGTCCGTTTTTCCGCTTGATTGAATGAGAGTTGCTGCAACCCGCCGAGCAGCGATCGTTTTCCCCTGAGAGAGAGAGAAAGCAAGATGCAGCTGATGAGTGGCAGATGCTTCTGCTGTCCCGGACAGCAGACCCTGAAGGTGTTGGCCCTGCTGACGGCGTACGCCGCCTACCTGGCCGTTGGCGCCGCCGTCTTCAGCGCCATCGAGAGCCCCATCGAGGCCAAGTACGTCGACATTCTGCGCACGGCCAGGAAGGAATTCCTCAACGCCTTCCCTCAGGTCACAGGTGAGAAATTAATTTAAAATTTAATCATTAATATAGATTTAAAATTTGTAACTAACAATCCATTTAGAAATAAATAAACAATTTTTTTTTTGTTATTATTATATAAGTTCAATTTCGAATTTGTCCTGCAATGGTCCTTCTGACCCACTTTGGTTTGCCTGTTGCTGTACTGCATTTTCTCACGCGACAAGCTAATTTATGCGCTCTGGGATTATGCAGTAATAAGAGCGACACGAAGGCTTTTAACTTTTTCACGAGCTTTAGTGTAAAATGGTGTTGTAGACCTTTGCATGAATAAATATGCAAATTACGATAGAGAGAAAATTATTAATATTCCTATAGTTAATATTAAAATGCCAAGAATATTAAGCTTTTGAAGCGTTAAAAAAATATTTAAAAAAATTTTAACTAGATGTTTCAATCTACGTCCAATGAAAAATTGGTCAAAACATATTTTACAGTTTTTGTTTGCATAATTAAGTCTGTGTGCTTCATCATAATTTAAAGTTGATAAAAATATGGAAATGTAAATAAGGAAAAATTAATAATTTTATGCCAGGCGGACACCTTATGAAATAGAGAATAATAAAATTAATAAATTGAGACTTTTAAAATGTTTTACGCCAAAGGATATAATTTAAATTTTTTAAATAATCTATTAATTAATTGTTTCTGTTAGTAAGAAATGATCAGGGACAAATCTATTACAAGGAAACCCCATTTTTACTCCATAAACATGCCCTTGAGTGCGTTTTTAATATTAAATTTACTGAATTAAGTGAAGAAAGTAAAAGTTTAATACCTTGGATATTTAAAAATTTTATTTCTGATGTTTATTTGCCCAAATTTGCCCAATATTTACATACAAAAATCAGATCAATATTATACCATTATTGTTTTTGCACATTTATGTTCCAAAGCCCCAAATTTATTTAAAATTTACGTTTTAAATTAAATTATACCATCAATTATTTGTATAGTTTTCAAATGTTCATGACAATGTGACAATTTGACAATATCAAAAATATCCAAGGTAATTTTTGGTCTAAATAAAACTTTAGCGTTCATATCTTGTGTATTCTCATTTTTCACTTTTTTTTCCTGAAAATGATTGTTATTGGAACGATATTCGTTTCAAATGGAGTTTGGCAGTCGATTTAAATTGCAAATCGGATTAACCGGGTATCGATGCCATTATATACCTTTCGTCTTGTCCGATCAATAAAGTTATCTCTACAGTCTCACTTGCTGGAGCCAACCGCCGCCCTCGTTATAAACAAAGGAGCTCTTTCGGTGTGTGCGTATATGTAACATGCATTTAATTAAAACGAGAGCTGCGTCTCTCGTTTGCAATCACATGATTAGCTCTCTAGCGCCGGCGGCTTCAAAGCAGACGGAGCGGATTTTCACAGCGTGAGCTTCTAATTAACAAGTGGTAATTATCCGCCTCTCTGTGCAATTAATTCGCGCAGCCTCTGAGGTTTAAAACGCCCACACACACACGAGAGAGAAAAGCAGAGAATCGATCGAGGTCCGATAATACGCACGGCTTTACTGCCTCGTTTCATTTTCGTAATGGGAAAATTGCACGCGCCGGCTTTTTCTCTCTCTCGTTGTTATTTTATTCCGTCACTTTTTATTCCTTTTCGGCTGCTGGCTGAGCAATAATGGCTAAAAAAATACCAAGCTTGCAGCTCGCATGTGGAGTGGTTTTTATTATCGAGACTTCTGCGGCGTGGAGCGATAAAACCAATGAATTTTCCCTGCTTTGATATATTTTTCCTTACAATCTACATTTTTGCTATAAAACTCCCTTTTTATTTGTATTCCTCTGGATTTTTCCTGCAGTAAAGTTCCTTTTCATAGTGCTTATCAACTGATTAATATTGCTTTTTTTTCTTATGGTCAGCAAAAAGGAATAACAACCAATATCACTCTAGAGTATTAAAAATAATTTAAAATTATATGAAAAAAAAGCGGCTGAAACCTTAGAATAAAAGATTTTTTTAATGATTATTTGAAAATGTTCTGATCTGGTTTTGATTTAAACATTGCAAAAGTTTGAGAAGCAGATGAAATAATAATTTAATAATTTACTTAAAATATTAGAGAGAGAAAAACAGGGATAAAAAAATGAGTTTTTAGTTTTCCACACTAAAGAAAATGGTATGCATTGCCGCATTTTTGAAGAATATGTCCAGGCCTTACTCGAATTAGAGCCAGTTTTCCCATTTTTAGAGAGCCTGAAATTTATCTGAAAATTTTTGCGTTTTTTCTTATTCCTGAAATCTTCAAAACCACTATTCAAAAAAGTATTTTATAATTAGAGAAAAAAAATCTTCTACTTTATCAACTTGTAATTAAACGACAAATTTTATTCCCTTTTTCTTGCGGCTGCGTTTACTTTTATTTTTAATTTAAACAGAAATTTCTTATTCATCCCCCATCCTTGATGTTAACAATTTCGGACAATTTAATTTTGAACTTTCCTGCAAGTCTCAAAGGAAGACCGCATCGCAACAGACGCAATAAATTGGAAACAATGAAAACTTGCAAACTCAATTTCAAAGTTTTGCTTTCTTTTGAGCATCTCGAGGCGTCTTCGAACTCAAAAGGAAAAGTTTCTAGATCCCTCTCTACACAAATTACGCAGAAACTTCTTGCTCTCGTCTGACGTACAGAAAAAGATAATGCGCGTTGCTTGAAAATAAAAAATATAAAACTATGGCAACGGCCGTATATCATCAAGGTAAATATTTTATCACTCTCCTGACAATGAAGAGACACGCATGAGAAATTCAATAAATCCAATCTAAGAAGAGTGGGAACGCCGCTGACCTATAATCTTGGGCAAATAAAAATATCAAAACTTTCAGAAACTTTGTTCCCGCGCCTCCCCTTCGCTGCATTTTGGCCTGAATGAATGAACTGTGAAACCACTGATTAATTATGACCAACATGACAAAAAATCCTAATTCAAAACAAAATTTTCTCTTTTATTAAAAATATTAAAAAATCGTACAAAAATTTTTTCTTGAAAATATAAAATGATTAATATAAACTTATCAAAATTCAAATTTCCGAGAAAAAAGGGGAACTAATCGGACCTACAGGTTGACTTGCCGTTAAGTTGGCGGCTGTGAAAACTCATGTGCTCCGTCGTCGACGGTGGTGGTGGCACTTGCAGGCGAGCACCATTCCTCGAGACCGTCGGGTCGCTCGCAGACGTTTTCGGGGCGCCGTCGTGTCCGCGGGACAGTTTAGTGCCTCCGTCCGAAATGTGCTTCGCGCCGACCCACTTCCGCTCACTCCGTCTGTGATAAAAGGACGATTTTTGTACGGAACAAAAGTGCCAACAATGCAGACATTATTTTTGCGCGTTGTTTTCTGCTGACCCGTGAGGAATTAAAAAAAAAAAACAATCGCAATGACGAACAAAGCAGCTCCGGTGGCTTTCGCGATGGAGCGGGCGCGGCGCCTCAAAATCCTCGGCGTCCGACGCAGCACTTTGCTGACCGCGACCTTCGTGCTGTCCTACGTGTTGTACCTGTGCGCGGGAGGCTTCGTCTTCTCCTACATCGAAGGCCCTGAGGAGGCCCGATACCGCAAGATAGTGCTTGACCAGCGAAGGGTCTTCCTCGAAAAATACCCTTCGGTCGAAGGTATTTCCATTATTCAATTAATTCGCATTTCATAATTAATTAACAGGTATAGCCAATTATAAAATTGAAAAGTAATTTTAATTTAATTAGATATTATTCAGTACCTTTTGATTAAAAAAACAATATTAAGATAAAAATTGTGATATTTCTTACTGTAAAAATTGGTCTCGGGAATAAAACTTTTAATTAAAATTGAGTAGTAAATTTAAAGCACCGCAATATTTTTTTTTTTTTTATGAATTTTTCAATTTAAATTCAGAATGAGCAATGGAGATTTTTCACAAAGAAACTTGATATCCTGTCTGCAAGAAGTGCGATTAGTGCAAAAAGCGGCAAGTAAAGGAAAGGGGTGCTAACCAGATCAACTTTCACTCTGGAAGGACAAAAGTTGTGCTAAAAGAATGCACAATACGCTTGAAACTGAAGCATTTTGTTTGGTGGAATTAAAAATATATTAATTGTTTAAAAAACACCAAATTATTGAATTATTTCAACATATATAAATAATAAAAAAAATCTAAAAATAATATTAAATAAAATATGCAGTTAATAAAAATAAAATTAAAATCATTTTTATACTATTTATTTATATAAATTCTTATTAAGTTTTTTATAATATAATTTATTTTTATTTTTAATTTATTGTATATTATTGTAACTAAAAACAAAAAAATCTCATAATTTTCATAAATAAATAAAGCGCAGCATGAATTAGATTTTATTTCAATAAAACTGTATTTTCCACAAATCAAAAAACTTAATTGCATTTATAATAATTTCAAATCTTTGTATTAACAACAATTTTTAGGCTTTTTTTATTTTTAATACTATAGAATTATTGGTTTAATGTTTAATGTAACCAAAATTAAGGTAAAATGAAATTTTTTGTTTGTTAAAATTTTAATACAATTTACCCAGTTTCCATCAGAAGGTTCTCGCTTCATTTTTTAAGCAATAAAAAATTCATCAGAAATAATATTTACTTTTTTTTTAAATAAATAATACTTTGATATAAATAAATGATCTAGAAATAATATTGACGCAGCGTCTCCAGCCGATTCAAGTCATTTTTATATTCTTTCCTGATGTTTGTAGCGCGTACGTGTTTACAAAACAGAGAAGAGACGTGCCTGCCTCGTCGGCTAAAATTATCTGGCTGACAATATTTCATTAGGCCGAGACCTTGCCTCATTTATCAAATTGGATGTTGCTTGGCGCGTCTTGCATGCTGCGGGGCTCGAATTTCACTTTCGCAAGGGCAGATTGGATTGACAACCCCCAACTCCCTCCGAGGGTGGTATCGACCAACCCCTAAAAATAATCCTATACATAGTTGCAATTTCCTCCTCAAATATATGTAACTGAAAATTTAATTTAATTTTCTCTCTGGTCAACGTTCTTTTCCGATCTAGTTCGGGTCTTTGTCCTGCATCATCACGGAATTTCAGTGGCCACCCCTGCTTTAATGACATGCAAATTGCTTTTGCCGCCGACAAACAACAAGGCCGCGGGTTGACGACACTCGCCTGCAAATTTTCCACCGCAAATGAAAATTTTCCACAAGTCACGCGTCGAGAGGGACTTTCTTTCTTCCGCCTACCGAGGCGAATAAATCATGCTTAATTATGCAAAGGATGTTACGTGTTTTGCCTCGAGTTATGTCATTTGCGATCGCATTAATTAACGGCGTGATTCGAACGCGGCATTATCTCTCCATTAATCAACGAAAGCTCTGACTAATGAAAAACATAAACAGCTCATTCATGGCGCGGGGCTAAAGACTATTGACTGATAGTATTAGCAAGTCATGGCATTTTACTATCAGACACGTATAATGGAGAAGGACAAAAATATTTATAAACAGCTAGTGAGGCACAAAATTTAACGCCGCTCAAGACGTTTTGTTTATTTGTTTAGAAAAATCGGGTGAATTCCTCATTGACGAATATACACAAATATTTTTTTCCTATACTCTGCCGATCTCATTGTTAATTATTACGCAGGAGAAACATTGACAATTTTTATTTACATAATTAAAAACGGAAAGAGTGATTAAATAAAAATAAAAAAGTCCGATCTAAGAAATGGTTTATTAGTAGATTTTCAAAATTTATTAAATAAATTGCTAATACAAATATAATTTTTTTTTAAATTCAAATTTAAATGGTGATTTGAATTTAAAATCGGCTTTTCCTCGATGGGTTTTTGTGAGTTGTTTATTGTTTCAGAAAAAACAATATCCTGCTCTACATGTTTCGGATATTGTTTTTTCTGAAACAATAAACAACTCACAAAAACGAACCAAGGAAAAGCCGAATTTAAATTCAAATCACCATGAATCAACCCTTGATTGTGAAATTCTACCATAAAATCAAATTTAAATGTTTAGTTTATATAAAAAAACAGTAATATTTCAAATTTTTTTTTATTTTAATATATCTTTTTATAATATTATGCTTTTTATATTCACTTATATTACTATTTTTATTTAAATATTAATTATTTTATGTTATATTATAAAATTAAATTCTTTTGTTTATACAATGCGGCCTTTGTTAATTTCTTCCCTTTTTTATTATGTGTTGGGAAAAGCGGTAGCAATTAACCTGCTGGAGAGGAGGGCTTGATAACAATGTAAATAGATAACACGGCGGTTCCCGCAGACCCCACTGGGTCGGTGGCATTGGAAAGTTTTGAGTTTTTGGTGTAACGCATTTTTTTTTAAATTCCAACAATTTGCTCTTTACAATTTGTTGTTTACAATTCCTTTTACGTTTTGAGTTTGAGACCATTTAATTTAACATTCAAATTTAAAAGAAATAAAGCTATTTAATGCCAAAAAGATGTTAAATTGAGTTTGCAGAATATATTTAATCATTTCTGGAAACCTCAGCCACCACTGTCAAGGTTTTCCTTGATGGCTAACGGAACTTGCTGACGATTTTGTGGTTAAAAAGTTAAAAATTAAATCCGTTTTAAATGGTACAAGGTAATAAATAGGACATTATAATATCAACTTTTGACTAAAAGTTGATTCTGTAAAGGATGAAATGTAATTTTAAACACTCCCATCTTAAGTTTATTGTTCCAAATTTAATGAGTTTCATGAATTTTTTCAATCAGCCAATATAGTTGCGACTAATTTTTCCGTGTTATTATCAAATAAAATTATAATTAACTATAATTAATATATTTCTATATTTGTGTGTCTGCAGATGAGGCGCTAGAGGAGCTTTTGCAGTTGGTGGTGACGGCGGGCAACCGCGGCGTTTACGCGACGAGAAACGCGACCGGCGAGCCCAACTGGTCCTTCGGCCAGTCCGTCTTCTTCAGCACGACCGTGATCACGACCATTGGCTACGGTCACGTGACCCCGCTGAGTCAGTCCGGCAAAGGCTTCTGCATTTTCTTTGCGGTCATCGGCATCCCGTTCACCCTCATCCTTGTCTCGGCCCTCGTCCAGCGACTCATGGTCCCTGTCATGGCCTTCCTCGAGTATTTGGACATTAAATTTGGTAAGAATAGGAAAAATTATGTCATTGTTTTTATAAATATGCCAGCTTGAACAAAATTAGTAACGGAAATTTTGAATTTTTAAATAAAAATTTAAATTTCTCTTTCTCTGAACTATGCAGTCTTTTGTAGATTTTAATTGAAACATTAAAATATGAATTTTACAACAAGTTAAAATAAAAAACTAAATTACTTCACTTTAATTTGTAATTAAATGTCAAAAATGTTAAATTTTTTCCTAAAATGAAAAGGATAGGCAAAAGTAGTCTTCAAATGCCATTAATTATTCATTTAATTTCAAATATATTTATCATATATTAAATTTGACTCTCAGTTGGACTAAAAAAAGTGAATTTTAACTTTCATTTAATTTAAATTTTTTGCTTTTTGCGATTGCCAGGTCACCGCCTCGGGGCCCTTTCCATCCGGCTGCTGCACGTGACCCTGATCGGCTCTTTCGTCTTAATCTTGGCCATGTTGATCCCTGCCGCGATTTTCGCATCCATGGAGCCCGAGTGGGACTACCTGGACGCCTTTTACTACTGCTTCATCTCCCTGACCACCATCGGCCTCGGCGACTACATCCCTGGCGACGCCCCCAACCAGCAGTACCGACCCCTCTACAAAGTCCTCACCACAAGTAAAATAAATACAATAAATTTTTCCTTAATTTGAATTGATCCATTTATAGTTTATCTGCTCTTCGGATTGACCCTGGCCATGCTGGTGCTGACGGTCTTTGGCGGCATCCCTGAACTTCACATGGGCCACCTGTTCGACCTCAACTCCGACGACCTGACCATGGACCACGAGAAAGTGCGTCTCAACCAGAACAAGTCAACAGACCACAGGACAATTATCAAGGTACATAATTACACTCAAAGAAGTTTATACTTTTATTGGAAACAAATTTCAGTCAAAAGTTGTGAAAAGTCGAAATTATACTTTTTGGAAGTTCAAAAAGTGCTCTAATTTAGTCAAAGGTAAACATTTAAAGAATATAAAAAAGCTCACATCGATTTAAGCTTCATTTAATATTTCAGGAAAATAACAAAAAGTTTGAATTAAATATTATTTTATTTTTATGATATAAATTAAAATTGAATGATTTTTTCTGTCCAGGTGTCTTCCAGGCGAGATTTGGACGATGAGGACGACGACGACTACAGCAGACCGTAAATGGAGATGGCAAAAAATACTTATTAATTTGTGTTTACGCGAAATGTACATTATTTGTCATTGCTGTGTAATGATTATTGGAAGCGCTTAAGTCAGACCGAGAGCTATATCTATATAACCTTGCGAACAAAATGCCACTCTCATTTATAGCAACAACAATTTACTAATCCAATCTCACTGTGCGAATCATAGAGGAATCTATATATTATACGACTACGGAATTAAGGAAGTATACAACAATTATATAAGAAAGTAAATACATCAAATATATATATTTTAAGAAAAGAAATATCGACGTTTACCGTCTCGATGACGACTGTAGGAGAATATTTTAATATCGGAGAGCTACTATCTCTCGCAAATCTGAAACTGATACATGATTCTTTTTTTACAATTTTTGTTCCTCACTCTTTACACCCACCATCGGATGTTTGCCTTGGCAGCCCCGAAAAATGGTATTTTCTGAGACTTTTGAATTCCAGACACCAAATAATGCGCAACCGTACTGGAAGGAGGCTTTGCTCGTTTTACTGTAGGGTTAGATCGAACCACACACGCTCTCTTATAAAACCAATTAAAAAAAATAATAACAATATCATTCCAGTACATTCCGCTGGCAAGAGCTCACTTTTCACTCTCGGACAATTTGCTGTGTGACACACACGAAAAATAAGACAATTTTTGGATCGTTTAAAACATTTTGACTTCAAAGAGTGGCTTTTCAAAGCAGGGACTTGTTATAAATTATAAAAGTGTTGAATTCATTGAAAAAAATTGAATTGTTTGATGTGCTGCTTCTCACGTTATCTGCTGCAGGCAATGGAACTTTTTTATTTTAATATATACGTAAATATCTCAACTGTGACTTGTTTTATAGACTTACATGCACTTTTGCTGCTGATTTTTGTAAACTGTGTTAGCACTTTAACGATATATAATTAAATAAGATGTAAAATGTACCTTGATTGCTTTTTCGTTCTAGGCCATACTCTGTGGTGATGAATACAGAGACAAACATAAAATGAAATAAATGACTGTCAATAACTAGTTGAATCTGTGTATAATAACAACGATGTAAAAGAGGTCAATCATGAATAAAAACAATAATTCGATCAATGCTACTTTTTTTACTAAAAATTAGATTCCAATTAATCATTGCATTAGAAATGAGCGGAAATTAGATAAAAAGCACGTCGGGATAGTATTTTGAGATTATCATTGACGCACGCGTGATTCCCTCGCTTTTATTTGAAGGCACCAGTTTGGGGCGCGTAGTTCTCGCTTCACTACAGAGATGCCTCTCGCATGAACTCTCTCCTGTTTAAAAGTAAACTTGATTTTGTTATTCACAACTGCGCTCCCCTGTCAGCGCTCACGTATATTAATATATTGAAGTTGGAATTATATAGCGAGAATTTGAGGCTATTTAAAAAAATTATAATTGCGCAGTTGACGAAATGAAAGAAATAATTTACCAAATTTTATCAAAAATAGCGCGTAAAACTAATAAAATTAAATGTATTATGTTGTATTTTGTATAGGTTGCACACGACAGTGTCTAATAAAAGTATCTATCTCATAATATTTACCGACTTGTTAAAAGTTTTATTTTTGCTTGACCAATATGATGCAAATAAAGAGTGGAAAATTGAAGAAGAAAAAATTAAATATGGCTCTTTTAATTTAATATCGCTCACTAGAAGATTTTGCTTCTTGAAAGAAAAATTAATATACTCCACATTTTTACCTAAATTTTTTTCAAAATTTTCTGACTGTTTCTTAAGAAGAGCCTCTCTACCCTCTCTCATATTAAATCAAAAATTAAGAGCATTGATAGTCTATTTTTAATGCAAAAATCAAGATCGCAAAATCGCTCACAATGTTACCCATGCTGCTTAAGTAAATTTTTTCTTGATCGAGTCTAACCTTTTTCTCTGCATATTTACTAGAATATTTGCAAACTGTGTTTATTGTTCATTGGATTAACCACACCAGGCAAACACATCGTACATTCGATTTATACAATAAGAAAACAGCATAAAGAGAGGAAAGGGAAAAATCATGTCATGGTTAATCTTTTACACATTCCTATCATTGTATCGAACAATAAATACAGGATTCAGGATCGAAATGAAAAACAACTTATATTTCTCTTATAGGGGTTATCTTATTCTCCTTCCAGATGCGCTCTTTTTAATTTTTAACAAGAAATCCGCAATAACTCAAATCTGACACCTGGCAAATATAGCTAGGGATTTATTATAAATTTAATGGTACACACAGCTTTTGATTTTATATTTTAACTATTATTGAAGTTTTATGAAAAAAGTTGCTCCTTTTTTTAATTTAATAGTTATTTTATAGATCACGCAATGCTTTAGCTTTTAAAGGGGCTGAAACGCGCAGAATATTCAGAATATTCACATTTTGATATATCCATTAAACGATGAGGAAATCAAATATCAGTGATGGACGGCAGCCCTATTTTGATATATAATCTGATTTTAATCAACGTGAGAGGAAAAAAATTCAACAATACAGTCAATACAAGATAAGAAGATAAAATTTCTACATTATAAGGGAATAAAAGGAATAAATTGATTCATAAAAAACTATTTTTAGGTACAGTTGATACAGAATAGAAGATATTTTCAACTAGCTGGTTCAAGATTTAAAAAAAAAAAATGGAGGGAGACTTTTCAAGCATGCAAATGAGTACTTTTCAGTTCCCAGTAAGAAACAATTAACCTAATGCAGCGTCTGTGAATGTTGTACATATTTAATATATATTTTTTTTTCTTTATGTGTTAAATTGCAAAGTTTTTGATGAAAAGTTCTTATACAATTAGAGTTTTATTCTATTTAATATAATCATCATTTTTCTCATCCATCACTTTTAATTAATTAAACAGCTTCCGATCGACCATCGCAGCAAGTCTGCAGAGACACAATTTAAAACACGAGGTTTTTCGAAGCTGTACCCCTGGAGGACGGCCGTGTATGCAACCAGTTCGACGGGCGCGCCCGACGGAAAGCATAAATATTGTTTTTATTCCTGTGAATTTCGAATCCGTTGGGGGTTCAATCGAGGGCCTAATTAAAATTCAGTCATTACGGATTAAAGGGCTGCGAAATATCGACTGAGTGTGACGTCAGAGAGGGATAAAGAGAGAGGCTGGCAACGGGATTTGGCGCGCAGCTCCGCCTCGTCCCCACCACTCGGAGGCGGATTGGGGGCGGCCCAGACCAATGGGGGGCGACGTTGCTTGCGCGGCCAACGAATGACGGTGTCGGTAGCATATCATAGGCAGATCTGTGTCCGTAATGCAAGAGATACCTTGTGTAATTTATACCAGTATCAGGCCCAGGATCATAGCATATCCATGTCGAGCGACGCGCTCTAAGATTATCTCTGCCTGATTTGCGAGTGTGTCCGTCGGCCGCCGACTGCCTTGTTTCGCCGAAAATGTGTCCGGGCGCCGAGCCGCAGTGACCCGACTCGCCAGCCTAAACCGTGAGTATCGCCCGAAAAAAGGGCTTCTTCCTTCGCTTTACACACACTCGGACGTCTTCTCTCTCCCGAGAGAGCCCAATTTGCTCTCTTCGTCGCACCCTGGCCGGCCGTCTCGATGGTCGCCACTTTCGCGACACGACTGCCCCTTTGATGCGATCGGTCGGTCGATCGGTCGGTGCTCCCGGGATGTTCACCACCGAAGGTGTCGATTTCACTTAATTGAGCGCGTTCAAGTTCCCTCCGATGCGCACACCTGTCTGTGCAAATCACCTTCGCCGCAAGTTCTGGTAACGAAAACCAACCACAGACTAATTTATCGCCAAACTATTCATTATTTAAATGTAATCAAACTCGATTAATTGAAAAATTTTAATAGAAAAATAAAAGTAATATCAGAGATGAGAAAGAATTGCTAAATTAATATAAAAAAAAAGAAAATTTGAAAAACCACTCTTTAAATGGGCCTTGAAATGGCTTAATTTTTGCTCTGAAATCCCCAAGATTACCTAATTTTTACAGCACAATTGCAATTTGGCGCGGTATTTTTTGTATTTCCATGCAGTCAATTTTCTGCATAGAATCTAATTTGACCGAGAAGCCCACACCAAAATATATATAAGCAGGAGCTGTCTTAAATTTGTAAAAATATTTGGTGCAAAAATCGCAATAATTCTATAAACTGGAGGGCACAATCACAAAGGAGGTAACTAGTGCGGCCCGACTTATTATAACTTGCGAGAAATACCTTCCGCATAAAAGTGATAAAATTTTCCACACGCTAAAACGCCAAAGAATAAAGCCTATACCTGTCACCAACACGCCACTCTTGCCGGTTTTCCAAAATCTGAATCTATATTCAATATATTTTGGAAGACCAAGATATTAAGAGAAATTTAATCGCAAATATTTTTTTAAGAATAAATAATAATTAAAATTTAAAAACCACAATGAAGATTGCAAAATCCATTGCAAAAATAAATCACAATTTGTCGGCGGCGTCAATAAACGTGTTCAATGTATTCTATATTATCTTTTTATTGCTAAAAAAAATTCAACTTTTCTTTTATACTTCTGCACAATGTTTGAATTTATATTTTTTCTTTCCTAAGTTTACAAAAATAACTTCTAATAAACGCAAAATAATTTTGTCATTTTACTCTAATAAAAAACTTTTTATTTTTCCATCAATCTTTTTCGCTATAGAGTTTGAAAATTGCAGTAATTTGCTGAAATTAATTTTTTCGAATTATATCTAAACCAAAATTTGATTGATATACTCAATTTTGTACACGCTCGCTTGCATCAAAAGTAAAAAAATAACAATAAATCAAGAGTGCGCCCAGTTCAGTGATTTATGACGACGTGCGGGTGGAAAACGCAATTCTCGCATCACCGTGATGATGGTCATCACAGCTCAGCCTCGCTCACATAAACTATCCATTCTCATTTATTCGGGAGAAAACGAGGGTGTCGAAATTGTCATCATTTGCCGGTGATGAAGCAATACACACGTTATTATTTGTCTGATGTTGTTATTGCATTATGGCGTGGAAATCAATTTGCGACGGCAAATGCACTCAATTAGCGGCGCACAATGCGTCGGACAGAACGAGATTTTTGTTTGTAAACTGCGTGCAGGGGTGGACCTGCGGGCAATTTGCGGCGAGAAACGACTGAGCGCTTCGACCGCGAACGCACCGCCGGCCTCCCTTTGTGCTTTTCTCACGCGCCCCGCGCGTTAATCAATTTGTCGCTCCACATTCTCATTTGTCAAGATTTTTTCACCTTCGTCCTTCATGATGGTAAAAAAATTAATATACTTAAATGATTTGAAATTTTGATGAAACTCATTTTAATACTACATATAATATTTTTTATTTCTTAAAATTTATTTTATTATATACATTTTAATTTAATATTTATAATAATTTTTAAATGATTTTTATTTTATTTATTTAAAAATATTAGATGATATTTTTTTACATTAACTTTTGCGTAATTTATCATTTAATGAAAATAATTTAATAATAATGTGTCAATAAGCAAATATTTTTTTTATATTTTGATAATGCACTCAATCTTTATATTATTTCATTTTAATGTGACCATTAATTGGTAGTCTCTACTTCTCGTCTTTTAATGCAAGCAAATTTATATAACAACATAAAACAATTGAGGCTTTTTTTAAATAATCAAGAATTCAACATATTATCAAGGAATATAAATAAAAATGTTAAGTTGACACAATATTATACATCTTTTATAACATTTCAAAGTTTGCAGATAAGATTTCAATGCTCAAATTATATCATTTTTGTTCTAGTCCCTCCGTAATCTCCGTATAAGAATAAGATTTTTGAAGATACTTTATATAATTCATTGGAATTCAACACTGAAATAACTTAAGAAAGGAGTATTATGATAGTCATGATAATCGCGGTTTGAAAGAACAGCCGAGAAAATTAAATATATTATAATTTAAATTACATTGTCAAAAGCTCTGCAAATTTACTTTAAAGGAAATAGTTTTCACTCACAAATTGCAATGGAATAATATTTTAAACCATTATTTATAAGTTTAGAAACAAACTAATTAAAAAGAAATTAAAATTTAAAATAATTTAAATTTGTTTTTGAATTTTGCTTTTTTCAGTTCTAGTTTTGAGAGATGGCGTCGTCGCTGCCGTCGACGCCGACGAGCTCGCCGGTGTCGACGCCGGAGCTGCCGCAGCCGCGGCCGCTGCTGCCGATTTTCGCGCTGCCGACGCTCAACTTCACGTGCAGCCAGGTGTCGGCCGTGTGCCAAACCCTGGAGGAGTCGGGCGACGTGGAGCGGCTGGCGCGCTTCCTCTGGTCGCTGCCCGTCGCCAACCCCAACTTCGTCGAGTTGTCGCGCACCGAGGCCGTGCTGCGCGCCAGGGCCATCGTCGCCTTCCACAGCAACAACTTCAAGGAGTTGTACCACATCCTCGAGCACTACAAGTTTTCCAAGGACAGTCACGCCAAGCTGCAGGCCTTGTGGCTCGAGGCGCACTACATCGAGGCCGAAAAGCTGCGCGGACGACCCCTTGGACCCGTCGACAAGTACCGAGTAAGGAACAAATTCCCCATTTTTTTTTTTAAATTATTTTAAATGTTGAGAAGGAAATGTAATTTTGTCCATCTTCAGATAAAACGATTATAATTATCATAATTTTCTTTATACAATATTTTAATTTATTATATATTGCTTAAATTAGGAGGCCCTGCTTTAATTTCTATATTAAAAATAATAAAATTTTATTGAATGAATTATTTTTTACATTTACTATATTTTAGAAGGTTCAATTTCAAATGCGTCGTCACCTCTGTTCTTAAATCTTGTGCGGATTGAATTTATTTATTGATTTTTTCTCATGTCATTTTGGCAAAAAAACTTCAAATTGCTGTTTCTACTTTATTTAAATTGTGCAGGACCTTCCCAATTAAAATTAAGGAAATTTTTATAGAAATTAGGCGTTTATTAAAACGACATTGACTCCTACACTTGACAGGTCCGCAAGAAATTTCCCCTGCCGCGCAGCATTTGGGACGGCGAGGCAAAGACACATTGCTTCAAGGTAAACAATGTAATGGCCTTTCTTCATCTAAAATTTTAGATTATAATTTTTAACAAAAAAAAATCTTATTACAAATTATTAGTTTTTCTCTAAAAAATTTTACGCAAATAATCTTTATTTTTATATAATATGGAAAAAATTATTTTAGAATCCTTTGAATTATCGGTGAAAGTTTTTTTGTTTCTTTGTAAAATTTTATTTAATTTTTATCTTTTAGATTAAAATTAGCCTCATAGGTATTTTTTTTTCTTCAATTTTGTGTCAGTCAAAACTGTGAAACGTGTCAGGAGTTTTAGGTTGTCAAATTTCTGTGTTTTTTTGTTTGAAGGAGCGGACACGGTCCCTACTGCGTGAGTGGTACCTGCAGGACCCGTACCCCAACCCCACAAAGAAACGCGAACTGGCCCTCGCGACAGGGTTGACCGCCACGCAGGTCGGCAACTGGTTCAAAAACCGCCGGCAGCGCGACCGAGCGGCCGCCGCCAAAAACCGGTGAGTACAAAATTTCCATTTCTACATAAATAAATTTCCCTTGAGGAATTCAAATTGAAATCGAAATACGCTCGACTTGTCGCGTCGCGGCATTGAATGAATCTCAAATTGGGCGTGAAATTTAAAATTACACTTGGCCGAAAGAAATGGAAATGACGAGAGCGACTCTCGTAAATATTCATGAAACAGTGAAAAGCATATTCAGAGCTTTTCATCCCTCGCTTCTTTATTGTTGCCGGGCGGGATAATCATTTCGAGGGAGAGATTGCGTCGGCGGAGTGTGCAGTGCTCTGTAAACATCGCGGCGGCGCACAAATTGGATTCGAATTTTCGGGGCTCGTTACGCCACTTCCTAAACACCCGCGCGCGTGTATATCAAAGTGCGCAGCTATTTTCCTCTTTGTGTGCTACAAAAATTATGTTTTTCTTGTTTATTTGTCCAAATTGTTACAACAAATTGTTTACATCAATTGTTGAGGTGAAAACGAAAACAATAAGTTTTTTTTCATGCTGCTGCATTTAATTAAATTCTCTCATTTTATTATATTTTCTTTCTCTAAAATTCTTAAATTTAAATTCAATGCAATAATTTGGATTTTACTTTTTCCTTTAACAAATTCCTTTAACAAACAAGTTTAACAAATTTATTTCAACTTGCTCCGTTTAAGATAATTTTCTAACATTTTCACGCATGATCTACAAGAAAAGAAAATATTATTTTGAATTTCATACACATTTTCCTTTTCTGAAACGGGACGCCGTTTTTGCTCCTTTCCCCAAATCTCTGTGCAGATAAAATCACAAACAAAATTCTCCGAAAAGCCAACACAAAAAACATCCCAACTTTTCCGCTGCTGGGGTCGGTTGGCGCGGACAAAAGAGATGGTCAGCCCAGCCACTGCCGAGGGATTAACCTTTTTGTCAGCACATATAGCCTTATATATTGAGTGCTGTTAATATTTGCCGGGCTCTTCTATAATTTGACACTCGGCTCGCCTCCAGGTTTCTGCTGAGCACACAAGGGAGGGAGAACAACACGACTTTAATACACACACACATGTCTTTATTGTGTTCCGGGTAAAGAGTCAGGGCAGTGAATGCCGAGGCAGGTGCTGCGAGGTCAAGACAGTTTAGAAGCGAAACTAAATAATAAAATCAAAGTTCAATAATAATAACATATTCCTTGAATAAAACTTGGTTCATATTATCTAATTTTTGTAAAAGTTACAGAAGCACATGTTGAAATTTCTATTAAGAGAAAATTATATTATAGTGAAAAATGGGATTTACATATATATAAAAATGATATAAAATTAGATGTCAATAAAAGGAGAAGAAAAAGAGTAAAATTCTGAAGGAATTTCAAGTATTTTTTTTGTTATACCTTAAAAATGGAAAATAAAATAAGGAATAAAATAAAATAAAATGAAAAATACAGTAAAATTAAAAAATGATAATAAATAAAATTTTATAAATATCTTATTTACACTAAATTTAATTTTTGCTATAAATTATATATTAGAATTTTAAACACTTACTTTGGCAGGTATAATTTTTTTTATATCTAGCTTTTTTTAAATTTCAATAAATTGTTAAATCTTCAACTTTATAATAAAATATACTATATTATTATTATTTTGACCAATTTTGAATAAGTGGTGAAATTTTAGTTCTGCACGGAAAGGAAAAGTACTATGGGTGGCCTCTCAACTCTTATAACAACTCCCTGAGCCTCGTCGGTCGATTATTTAACACTTCCCTCGGGGCCAAGTTAGAGAGGCTGCGGAGATGTCAAGCAAATGAAGCGCAAACCAAACAACGTGTTAAAAAGATGTCTAAACTGCCGCTTCTGACGTTTCTATATCTGCAGCCTGCAGGGCGGGCGGCAAAACAATTCACTTTCGCGCCCCTGCGCGCTCATCAACCCTCCGCGGCCAGAAATAAAACGAAAACACACACGCGGGACTCGTCCTCACTTATCACTCCATTAACAGGGAAAAAAAAGAGTGTCCGTGTGGCCTCTTATTTTTCCCTTCTGCTCCGGAGAGGAAAACCAACAACGTGCGGCCAATCAGATGAAACGGCACAATTTTCGATCGGGCCACGAAATTTCCTTTGTCTGCGGCCATCGAATGTTTGTTTGGAATTGCTTCTCGCGCGCGCAACGAAAAATATAAAAAACACTCCGGACTGGTGAGAAGGGGCAATCCTGAGGAGAGTGACGAGTCTGAAATCGAGTCAGGAAACATCCCATAGAGAAAGAAATATAACAAAAGAACAGGATGATTTTGATATAAAATGATCCAATAATTAAAGAAAAGGTGAATTTTTTCAATCTCTGAGGATGTATAAGTATTTTTTTGTTAAAAAAACCAAAATTCCGATTCTCAAAAAATTCAATTTGCAATTATAAAATATATAGGGCAAAAACGATTACAGAAGTTTGGAATTTTAAACTTAAAAATAAATAATTTTGTTTGAAGAAGTTGATGCTCGAGGAGATGATCATGGAAATGAATGAATCGGGCTTTTTCCTTGTTGCAAATTTTTTTTCTGCCGAAGGATCATTATTTGAGCCATTTTTTGTTTTTGAATAAAAAACAATTTTTGCAACGAGGAAAAAGCCCGATACCTTCATTTCCATAATTAATTTTTTTAATTTCAAGACCAAAATATATTTGAAAATTCATTCCCTGCAAATATTTCAAGGAATTTGTTTTCAAAATTTATAAATCAATCGATTTATTTGTTTACTAATTATTTTGTCACATTACCGCATCAAGGGGTGCCATCAAGTAGGCCCGTGTCGAGTTATGATGAGGGCTAATTAAGCGGGACGCGCTTAGGTTGAAAAAGCACAACGCGCGAGCTTTATTCACAAATGCACGCGGCGGCGGGGAAATGAGAATTGATTTTTGCCGGGGCGCACCCCCGTGCATGCATAGCGGGACGTCTTTTGCTGCGAGGAATTGGCCTGGAGGCGTCAAAGCAGCCGCAGCACGCACGACATCAATACTAATAAGATATATGGTGCAAAGTTATTGTTTTGCCGCGTCGAGACCCTCGTAGCTTTCAAAGAGCTCTTCTCATTTAAGTAAAATAGGGGCATAAAGAGCTCCTCAAATATGCGCTCTTGAAATAATATTATCCCGTGCACGCGGGACGGACAAGTATATTAAGAGATAAATATACGCCAAAGAGCATCTGCGAGGGCGAATTTGGCGCGACAGAAGGCGACTCGGCGACGCAGCCACTCGACCGTGCTCGTCAAAGTGATCCACCAGAGGAAAACACAAGAGTTTTATCAAATTGTTCCACTAAACGCAGCAGGGTGATATAGTTTTCATTAGAAGGACCGAATTCAAAATACATTTTGGTGTAGGGTGTATAGTATTACTGAAAGATACATTTATGTTAATTTTATAATGAAAAATATTTTGGAAACTACGATTCCAATGAAAAATGTGCTAAAATTTAATATATAATTATTTTGATAGACTACATAATTATTTAATTATTTGCAAAAAATTAAAAAAAATATTGTATGAAATTATAATAAATATTATTGTAGATTATTTAGGCAAATTGTTACATCACATTTTGCTTTTACATTCAATTGTTTAAAACAATTTATTTGAAAAGGAAGGACGTATTGGAATATCTGAAAGCAAAATAGTAAAATTGCTTTTTTAATTTAAAGTGAAATTATTTTCTAATGGATTGCCTGAAGGAATTCTTACAATTACCGGCACAGTCAAATCAAGTTTTTACAACTATGGGAGTCAAGTTTTGCGATTATTGTAACTTTTAACCTTCGTTGTTGTAAAGACTTGATTTGACTAAGAAGTCTTTAATTTGTTTCACTGTTAAGTTTCCCTCTTTTAAAAATAAAAAAGAATAATCTTAATAGTATTAAAATTTTACTTACAACATCTGGCAAAATAATTTTTTTTATTAACTTTATAATAATATTAAATATAAGATTATATAGATTTTTTTTATTTAAACAATTTAATTGATTTCCTTATTTTACTATTGTAATAAAAAATAAAAAACAGATATTATTTTATTTTATTATTGTAATCAGTAAGTTTTTCTATTACATATTGTTGATGTTGACTTGTGCTCAAAGTGTAATTTAGGCAATTAAAATTGGTAACTGCTTTTCTTAGCATTATTAATATAAATTTTTACATTGGTACTCCGTGCAAATCAAATATTGGACGCTTATTCTCTGCTCGATCCGCTCGTCTGGATTTCACACGTGTTTATATTCAATCTGTCTCTCGGCACTCGATCTCATTCTCTCTCGCCCAGATATTATTTCCACCTGTACAGGCTGACAGGGGATTAATTTTCAGCTCTCGTCTAACGCTTTCGGTGCAAAGCAGATTAAACGCCGCGCGTACGTCCACCATGTTGTATATTAAGATATTAAGCACACCTCTTAAGCATGGGTGCTGCGCGAGAAGAGAGAGACGCGCCGCGACGGAGAAAAAAATTTATATTTCTAAAAGACGCCCTTTTATACACATACAGCTGTGAAAGATGCTTTATGGCCAAGATCCACTCGATTTTTTTTTATATCCTGTCAATGACACGTTGGTTTCAGATATTCTTCTCACAATTGTAATGTGCTGCTGGACGGGCTTATTGAAAAAAGATCAGTGCGTGTTTTGACACTAAGATTCTGATCGGCCAATCGACCAAAGTCAAAATATCGAGTTTCGAGCACTTTTAATCCGCCAGAGTTGAATATAATAAAATTAATCCTCCGATAAACTGCGATATCAATTTTCGATCGAACTCAAATTTCCATAATTCCTGCGCAAGACATTTCATTTTAGATTTTTGATTGATGCGAGGACAAAATATAATTTAATGTGACACATATTTTCCATTCTCTGCTGCGCAACTATGTATGAGAGGGGAAAATAGATCGTTCTATGATGAATTTTCCTAGATAATTGGGTTTGTATTGTGTGAAGCGGTAACGAATG